GGCCCACAGCCTGGCATGTACCACTCGCACAGAGGTTCTCGTGTGAAAGGCAGAGCACAGGCTGAGGGTGCAGGGCGCAGCCGGCTGCAGAGGGCCGCCACCCGCCCACGGGGGTCCTCTCCACCCAGGGCCTGGCTGCTGCTCTGGGGGCTGAGCAGTGGTGCCTCCATGCATTTGTCCCTTCTCGGCCGGCCGAGCAATCCGAAGTGAAAGAGGAAGGCAGCCTGGCCGCTCGGCCAGCTCCGGGCTGTTCCGGCTGCTCTGTGACCCCTCAGCCACCAAAGAGCGCAGACGTGCCTGCCGATGAACCTCATTCACGCTGCAGCGCTGGTCTGGGAAAGGCCTTTCCCTGCAATGGCAGGACTCTCTGCAAACCGGCTTACCGAACACGGGATGCGCTCCAGGGAGTCTGGAGCTGCACACCCTTGCTGGCCGGCTCCTCCTATCCGCAGATGAACACTGCCCCCTGCTGTCCAGAGTACCCACCTTCGCTGCGAGCGCAGGGTAGGGTGGGAGCCACCACTGTCACCCAGGAATGAATTTTGACTCCTTCAGTCCTTAGCTGTCAGTTCTGAAGAGTTATAGCTGCAAAGAATCTCTACTGCATGGAAAGATGACTTGCTTTGGTTTGTTATTGTTACTCAGTCATTTTTACGAACCATCATCACCAGCAAAGTCCCACTGAGACGAAAGACCAAGAAGAGACAATGACAGCAGCCCTGGCCCGGCCACCAAGCGTGGACAGGTGCGAGACGGCTCTGCAGAGGGTCTGGAGCCAGCACCACTCAGGGGAGCGGGGTGCTCCGTGCTCGGCCCCTCACGCCACGGCGGGCGCTCCCCTGGCTCTGAGCAGCACCTGCCCTACCCTGCCCTGCCCTGCCCTGCCCTGCCCTGCCCTGCCCTGCCCTGCCCCTCATCTGGCATCCAGAACCAGGGCTGGAGATGGCTCTGAGGAGGCAGGCGTCCACACAGCACAGAGCAGGGACGTCTTCCCCTCCGCCTCCTGGGCACACAGGCCCTCAGGGAGGAAATCCTCCCAGGAGAAGCGCAGGCCCGGCCTTCAGGGAGCCTCCTGAAGCTCTTTCCATGGGGAGCATTTGGGAGTTGAAGGGACCCCGGAAGGCATGGCTTGGAGTCACCGGACACCCCAGGAGCCGACCAGAATGACCCCATTCTGTGCAACCCCGTATTCACAGTGCGGTTGTGCATATCGAGCAGATGTCTCCCCATGACCCCAGAGTCCAGGGCTACACTCTGCCCTCACTGCACGGCTAAGGAAACGCCGTCGGGGGTCCACTGTGCACCAGCACCTATGTGTCCTTTGGTTCACGAGTGCTCTAACACCGGCCTAGCGATGCGATTTCTGGAGGCAGGAATTGAAATGGAAAAGGTCGAGTAACTTACACTCCGCAGCGAACGTCTCTTCCTTGTGCCCCTCCTACTGCGCACCTCTGCGCCTGCGCCTGCGCCTGCGCCTGCGCCTGTGTTTATGGCGGCGTCTGTGTCTGTCGGTATCGACGTGCCACGCTGAGTAACACAAAGGTTCCGTTAACTGTGCCCTGACTCACCGACGGATTCCCAGTAGGAGCTGGCACAGGCCGGAGGGCACCACCGCGCTTTGCATAAAGAATTCAGTATTTTGTTCTGAATCAGGGTCCCTTCAGATTAGGGGACATACCACAGTCCTTCTGTACCCTTGGGTTCACTGAGGTCGACTGTGATCTGAAAATACAGCATGGAAAGCTTCAGGAGCACACAGTTCCTGAGTTCCGCACCACATGCCATTGGGGCAGTGGACGTGTGCTTGTGCCACCCTGCTCCATCCTGCCAGGCAGCTGTCACGTCTTGCCCCCTGCATCCACCCAGGGCATCATCACCCCTCATGCCCCTTGGCTCTGGGAGCACCTGCATCAGGAACAGCACCAGGGGCCTGTGCTGCGTCCCCCCAACTTCACTCTTCTGCAGGTGGTACTGTCTCGTCTCACATGGTGCAGAGGAGCAGGAGTACAGTACTGTGAGAGGCTGGAAGATGGAGACCACATTCATGGGCTTTTATTAAAATACAGTGTTCTACTTTCCTATTTTATTAGTAGTCGTTGTCGCTAATCTCTTACTGTGGCTGACTTACAAGGTAAGCTTTGCCGTAGGTGATTATGTGCAAGAGAAGTCAACGCAGTAAGTACCTCTAGGCTTGATGCTATCCAGGTTCCCAGCCACATGGCCCATCTCGGAGTGGGCCAGATGAAGGAGAGACACCACCCACTGTCCCCGTACCCAGTGTGTCACGGAGGATCCCCTCGGGAGCTGGGCGCTGAGAGATCCTGGCTATATACTTCCTTCTTTGGAAACTAGTCCTACACAAAGTGCTGTCATCGCCTAAAAGTCTTGACATTATTAATAACAATAATAGCTGAACTTTATTGCCACTTATTATGTGCCGAGCTACACGCAAGCTGGCATTTTCTGTGAAATGCTGTTGAATGATCTCCACGACCCTGGGCCTGCAGAGATCATCATCTCCACTTCATGGATGAAGAAGACAGAGAAGCCAAATCATCCTCTCACAGTCACTCGGTAGACCGATGCAGAGCTGAGCCTTGTGCCCAAATATTTTCTTGGTTCCTGTATTATAAAGTGCTGTGTGTTTATTTAAACACAAAAAAGCTCACTATCATAAAAGAAAAACACACAGTACAATTTCCTCCGACTCACTGAGCAGAAGACTCGTACTGGGATGTTTGTGGTTTAGTGTGGGGGAGCAGAGAGGACCACACGCAGGGCTCCCAGAAGCCCACTGTCAGCACCCTGCCCAAGCAAGGGCACATCCTGAAGACGACCAGAAATGTTGCTCACTCCAGAGCTGACCCCAGACTCCTCAAAAGACGCCAAGGGGCCACTAGGACTGTCACTGCTTCTGTGGCGGAGACTGTGCCCCGGTGTGCCTGCATGCCAGTCTGAGCATCCAGCCAGCTGTGCGGCTCTCGGAAGAAGGGCTGTGCTGTCCTGTTGCTGCTAAGCATGCAGGCATCCCTGGCTGATTAAGCACAGGCCAGAGCCCAGGTGGAAGTTAAGAAGCAGAAGCCCAAGGTCCAGGCAGAGGCTACCCAGCCAGGGGCACCTGCCCGACAGACCTGGGCCCCTCATGCCTCCCCTCTGCCCCACTGGCTCAGCACTTCTGCTTTGTGGCAGCTGGTTAGTAAAGAAAGAGACAGTTTCTCTGAGAGGCCTCTGTCCTCCTAAGCCTACACCCCTGGAGTGAGACTTTCAGTATTGCAGGGAATGGACTTCTCCAAGAGCGTTCACACGAACCGGCGTTCTCAGCGGTTTGCATAAGAATTTGGAAGTGAAGTCCCCGATTTTCAGGGGATCGCTTGCCTTTAAAAGTAACGGACAGACACCCAGGCTGGCAGCTTCGTCCTGCACAGCCTGCTGCCAGCTCGGCCACCACAGCCCAGGCCACGCCTTTCCCCAACCCTGGTGGCACTGCTGAGGCCACATGCTGCTGGCCTGGAGCTGAGGTCAGAGGACACGCTGCCCCCACGCAAGAGAAGAACCCCAGTGGCTTTAGAAGCTGCAGAAATGCCCCCATGATGCCGGCATCTCCACTCCAACCCAAGGAGGGGCTGTAGAGCTCAGTACAGGGCCGGTTGTGTCTGTCCCAAGTGCATGCGCTAAAGCCCTAACTGTGGTGCAGCTGCACTGGGAGACTGGTTTCCGGAGCCAACGAGGCCGAACATGGTCATCAAGTACTGACCACATCGGCCCCACAGGACGAGTGTCCTCTGAGGAAGAGGAAGAGATGTCAGCCACAAACACATGCACACACGCATACCATACGCATGCACACATGCACACAAGCACACAAGCGCACGCACATGGCCGTGCAGGACACAGTGAGGAGGTCCTATCTGCATGCTGGGCAGAAAGACTCAGGAGAACCCCAACCCACCAACCCCTGATCTTGGTCTCCAGCTTCCAGAACTGAGGGGAAGCAAATTCCTGCTCTGGGGCCAGGCATTCTGTTGTGACCGGTAGACCAGACCGACACCCTCTAAACCCACAGCCTGACCCCATGAGCAGCACCCGGCTTTTCCCAGTTCTCATCTTGTTCCCATTTCTCTGCACATGGAGCTGAAGGTCTCAGTCTCCCCACCTCCCCTCGCTGCTTCAGCACCCCGACCTGTCAGGACCAGAAGACTTGGGTGTCTGAGAGCCAGGTGGGCGTCACCGCCACCACCACAGGCCCCTGCCACGGCCCGAGACGTGGGGAAGTGCCGGCCCCAGCCCTGTACCCTGAGAGGGCTCTGGGGACCCAAGCGTTCAGTGTGCGGCCACCCAGCCCTCCCTGGGTGCCTGTCTGCTGCTGCTCCATCGCAGCTCTGCTGTCCCAGCTGCGTCTCCAGCGGGCCTGGCTCCGCCCAGCCTGTGTCCCATTCCGAACCAGTCACCACAGCCGTGACGCCTGCGCAGAGCACCCCAGTGAGCCCTTCGTCCTTGTGCAGCCAACCTCCCTCCAAGCGAACCCTTCTAACCAAAGGCTTTTACCCAGGCAGCGCAGTTCCCGCTTCACCTTACTGCAGCGGCACTTTGTACTTTCTCCCAAGATGCTTTCCCCGTGCGGGACAGCTTTCTGTTTCCACCCAGCTTCCTCGGTCCTTTCCCACTGCCTCCAGAAAGCGGCTGGCGTCACCATCCACCCACATCCCCAGAGAGGCGCTGAGGGACAGAGGACAGCACCTCAGGGCCAGGGCTGGACCGAGACTTCCACACCTGGAACACAGAGGAACCAGCAGAAAGCTGAGCACAATGCCCCCTCTGCACCCGCAGCACAAATACAAGCACAACTCCCCCAGCCTCTCTGCGGGGCCCTTGGCTGATTTCTAACCCAACTGCACTGGTTCAAGCAAAAATCAGCCAAGGTCAGGGCAGTGAAATGCGTGTTGCATGCTGATCAGAGACCTTGGACAGGAGTCACAAGCATGGACTCCAAGCCAGAGGACTGAAATCACCCTGTAATTATTTTATTTTTGACTATAGCAAGTCTCAATCAAATTGCTATCCTGGGTTCAAAGCACTGTTTTCTGAAAACATTTAAAAGCCACTGTATACTTATGTATAAAATGTACATATTAAATATAAACGATTCTGCAACGTGGGTCAGATTTACAAGGCATAACAATGTCTTCTCTAAACTCAACCAAGCCAGAAACGGCCTTCATCATACTTATAGTCACGTGTGGAGAAAAGCCTGTTCTCCTCTGCCCAAGCCAGCAGGCAGTCACCAGTGTCCTGAGCTTTATGCAAAGCAGGCGAATTCTCCAGGCGGTGGTGAGTCACCCTTGGCATCTTGTCCTGCTAGAAGCTCCCTTGCTCCAGAACAGCAACGATGACACCAGGGCTCCCGGGACGTGGGGACACCGTGCTGGGCCCAACTTGAACAGGACTGGACTTCTTAAAGAAGGCACTACTGTGGGCCTCTCCCTGCAGGGAGGCAAGTGAGGCTCTGCTCTCGGGCTGGCTGTGCAGATTCGCGCCAGCACGGCCAGGCTGCAGGGCTGGCCAGCCGGGAAACAGCGCTCGCCAGGCCTCTGTGAGGAGGTCAGTACCAGAGGGATCAGCGGGGCAGCCATCACTTGTTGCTGTGTTGGAAAACACTTGTTTGGTCACCAGGCAGCACACTAGCTCTGGGAATCAGCTACAGTTGTCCCACCCGGAGCTCAGTCACTGCAGACCAGCAAGGTGAGCAGGACAATGGAGTCCCACGGGGAAACGGCGACGGAGGGCAGGACTGCCTTGGGACAAGGGGTCCTTGGCCGGCACTTTCCTCCATTTCCAGCAGGACAACTGAAGGTGAGGGGTGTCCCAGACTCTGCCACTCCAGGGTCCCCCTCAGTTCCTATCTCCCCCCACCCACGCTCCCACTGGCTGTGGGTTCCGGTCCAGGCTGATGGCCTCCTGAGTCCTGTTTGGCTGGTGTTGGCACAAGCGATAACCTGCTTCGAATAACAAAGTTTATTTTTAAAAAAGCCCTCATAAAGCTCCTTAGACATCAAATGACTCTTACAAGCAACACTTTGATGAATTAAGTGCAAATGAATCGGGAACATGTGGATCACATTTCCCTGGAAATACCCATGGGTTTCAATATTCAGGGGGAAAGTGCTCGGAAAGCAGACCCTGAATTTTCCTGAACATAGCAGCTGAAAAACAATCTCCTCCCCCGGGTCCGAGGGCATGATAAGCCCGTGTGCACACGCGTGTCACTGGGGCACAGAGGCCGCCGCAGCAGGCCTCCAGGGTCGCAGCCACGGCGACCACGTGCGGAGGGCGGCAAGGCCTGGGGCTTTCACGTTCACACTCACGCAGCATTGTTTCTGTTTGGCTTTTGCAGGAGAGGAGGAGGTGGCGACGGTTTCTACTCGCACCCTGCCCCCCACCACTTCACTCCCCTTGCCGAAATCCTCGGAGGAAGCTACTGTGCTGTGTGTGACAGAGAAACCCGTCTCCTCGGCAGACCTTGGAGCCCGTCCAGGCCCCGCGCCCAGGCCAGAGCTCCGCACTCACCATTTGCATTTCATTGCCAGGCTGAGCTGGAGAAGTCGGCTGGAGAAGTCAGCAGTCAGCTGAAAGTAGCAGCAAGAAGTCCCCACTTTCCAGCACGGAGCTGGCACTGCCAGCAATCCACAGCCAAATCTGACTTACAATCTATACAAGAAAAGAACATCCGCGTGAATACAGGAGCCGCTCCTCTCCCGTCTGGGAACCCCTCGCGGAACCCCGAACCGCGCTGAAGGTCTTTCCGGGCCACTGACTACCCTGCCTTTACCTTGCCGCTTCCTGTCCTGGGGACCAGATTTCCGTCAACTCTCATCCACAACTGTTAACTTGGAAAACTGAAGAAAGCAACTTTGGAGACCTGTGACCAAGAATCTAAAGAGGAAAAAGAAGCGGAGTCAGGAAGAGCAGCCTAACGTTCGAAAACATAACACCTTCAGCAGTTTGGACGCGCTGAGAGCAGCCCGGGTCAGGAAGGAAAATCCGCGAGGCCCGAGGGCCTGACCCGGTCCTGACTCCGCATGCTGCCCGGGGAGCTGTAGGAAGTCTCGTCCCGTGTCCAAACCTGTCGGCTAGGACTCTAAGGAGAACTAGTGGTTTGAGCTGGAGCGCCTTCCTGAACACACATGTGCTTTCACGGACTGCCACCCAGGCCTCCACAGGGACGTCCTCCAGCGCCTCCGTGCAAAGTCAACAGCTCCCTGTCCTGCGCCGCAGCCTTCCTTAAGGACTACAGGCGGAGCCACCACTTCCCACACCGGGTCTCAGAGGGCGCAGAAGCCGCGGTCTAATCGCTGCCTGCCCAGTTCCCACCGGCCCTGCGCACCCAAGCCCGCCCTGCCCCGGGAGGCAGCCGTGGCCCACGCCGCTGGCAGAGCTCTACAGTGAGCCCTGGAGAGCGCACCCGGCCGCCCAGAGCGCCCGTGTCCAGGAAGGGGCTCTGGGCTCAGAGCGGGGAGAGAATTTATTCTCCTCAGGGAACCTTCCTCACGTGCTCTCCTGCGAGGACTGCGTCCCCCTTCGGGCTGTGCGTGCTGAGGACAGCCAGGGAGGCCCGTCCACCTGCGGTTCTTTCCTCTTCCCAGCTCGTCCCTGCCCTCCAGGAAGCCTCACTCACACACTTCCCCCAGGGCAGGCCTCCTTCCCCATCGGGCCGCCCTGGCCCTCCTCACGGCGGCCTAACGCGTGTGCCCTGGCCGTCTTGCCAGGTGAGATGCGCTTAGGAATCTCTGCTCGCTGTGGCAGGTGCTTAGCAGCGACTGAATGGACCACGTGGATGTGAGTGGACAGGAAGGAAACCACGGTCCGGGTCTCAGGGATGATCCCACAGACGGCTGGCGGCCAGCGTCTCCTCGCTACGATCCGTGCACTTGTACCAGACTGTGGCTCAGCTGGACTGGTTATTTCAGGCAACCTGAACACCAGTCTCAGTCTGTTTTCTGTTGCTAATAACACACCACAGCCAGGGGAGGTGTAAAGAAGGGCTTTGTTTGGGGGCGTGGCTCTGGGCCGAGGGTGGGGGGCGTACTGGTGAGGGCCGAAGAGGCCTGCAGGTGCACCCTAGATGACCCTGCACCCTGACCACTACCCACCCGAAGGCGGGAATCTAATCCCCTCCTAAGGCCCCACTCGCCCCATCTCCTGACATCCCACAGTGGGACCGAATTTCAGCACAATTTGTAACGGGGCAAACTGAGCTCAAGCCCTGGCAACTGCATGTGCTGCTCGAATCACTCGGGAAGCTCTTCCAGGAGGAAGAGGAAGCATCAACCCCACGGGAGGGCGGACAGCCTGCATCACCCTTGGGCTCTGGATGCGGGCAGGGCCAGCACAGCACTGTTCCCTGCACACTGGCTCCGCCACCTCTGGGGAGAAGGAGGGGCAGACGCCGTGTGGCTCCCTGCGGACATCAAGGGACACTTCCAACCATCTCTGCAGCTTCCGGCTCATAGTCACAAGTCCAGCGCCTCTCCGGTTAGGTCTCCCCGTTTCCACAGGGCAGGTCCCCAAAGTCAGAAGGGAAACGTAGTTTCCAGCTGCACTGACGGGCACTGACTTTTTTGTCCCTTTTCCCCAAAACCTGGTCCTGAGATGCCTTTAACCTCATCCTCACCTGCAAGTGGACAGGAGAACCCAGCAGGAGCAACAGCAGCAAACCCAGGGCGGGCAGAGGCCGGGCCACAGGAGTGGGTAGCCAGGGCCAGATGGTCACAGCCACCGTCCTCGTCCTGTTCTCTCCTCACAGCGCTGCAACTCTGAATCAAAGCGAGGACCCTACTCACCACTCCGTGTGCTCCGCACCCTAGTCAGGAACCCAGGCTTACGGGAATGAAGGACAGCGTCACCCTACCGCCGCCTGCCGTCTCTCCCGTAGTCCTTGCTGTGTGGGAAATATCTTTCCAGGATAACGGAGCATTGCTCAGCCGTAAAGAAGGATAAACTTGAGTCACTTGTAGGAAAATGGATGCGCTTGAGACCATCGTGTCAAGTGAAATAAATCCGACGCAGAAGCTTAAGTATCACATGGGTTTTTGTTAATATGAGAAACCCTGGGTATGAATAGTTTCAAAATACAAAATAAAAGCTAGACAGTAGGAAACAGGGAGATGGGTCTTTTGCTACCAGGAAGAGGGCCGGGAGGGGGAGGGCGGGAGGGATGTGAGAAGCATAAAGCTGTGCTGTGTACATGGAACAGCTCCCCAGGAGGAATGCGATCGTTCCATACTACAAACATGGACTCACAAGTTTTTAAAAATATATCCCACATGTAACAGCAAAAACATTACAGCTATGCTTACCAGACATACGCAGAACCTTCGTGAAGAATCTTGGTTGTTTCCTAAAGAACACAGTGAGAGAGTAATTGGACGAGGGGATTTCTGCCCAGTAAATCGAGTAACGCAGTGCAATTCCGAGTAGAATCCCAAGGAGCTTCCCTTAGGAATGTAAAGCACTGGTAAAGTAGCTCTACCACTTATTAAATATTACGAAGTAAATATAAAGACAATATCGTAAAGACAGGGAGCTCAACAGAGCACAGTGACAGAAACAGACCTCAGAACACACAGGAACCAAGTGTATGTTGGTGGCATTTCAACTCAGTGGGCCGCAGTGGATTGTCCCGTAAGTGGCTTAAGATGATTGAATAAACATTCAGAAAGTGCTTTCAGCCAGCAGCACACTGTGAAGCATCCCCAGGCCCCTTGGTAAGTGGAAGCTCCAGCTTCTCCTCCACTCCACGCTGCACCCACCGTCCCCAGCCACCAGGGGACCCTGTGACCTTAAAGCCTGGGACCGGGACCCGACCCTGCTCATCAGGGTGCAGGGGCACCGTGCGCAGCTTCTCTTTGCCTCTGCCCATCTGCCAAATCGCCCAGATAACGCACACAGGCCACCTGCTTCCCCAGAGCGCAGGGCAGAGGCGCGCTGTTAGGCTAACGCGGTCAGTGACTTTGGAAGCGAGGCCTGCATGGAATCCAGGCCGGTCACTGAATCAAAGGCTTGGGGCGTCCATCGATCTTCAGAACCCAGCGTGAGGGGCGCAGCTTTTCTATTTGCGACTTGAAACAGTGCCCAGAAGCACAGAGGGCACGGCCTGATGGGAGGAGATGCCCCGGCAGCCCGTCTGGCGGTGTCCATTCAGCATCTGGCCGAGGAGTCGCGGCCATTAGGCCCGGGTCGCGGAGCCCATTATCATGGGCGCATTGTCTGATGCCGCACGGGTAGAAGGACACGGCAGGTCACTGCGGCGTCTCTGCTGGCCCGGAGCTCACCCCGCGCCCACTGCAGGCGGGGTGGACAGAGCCCAGAGGAGCTCACCGGTTCGGCTACCAGTTCAGGCAGAAAACGCACAGAGTACCAGGGCGTAGGTGATTAATTCTGCTCCTTGCCTGGAAGGTGAAGAGCTTTTTATTATGTCAATTATAAATGTCCTGGAGGGAAAGTTTATCTCCCGCTCACCACTGAGCGGCAGGCTGTCTGAATCAGGGTTTTTTTATGTTTATTAGTCCAGTGGGGCCAATTGGGCTCTCACAGCTCCGAAGTGCTGACGTTTATCGATTGCTTCCAAGTACACCCAGTGGCAGGGCGCCCAGGCGGTCACCAAACAAGCAGGAGGAGGCTGTGTGACCCCGTGGGAACTCTCCCGCCCTGATCCCTCTGCCACATCCTCCTGCTCTCCCTCCTCACCCGGCTTTCCTTGCCGTGGTTATTGACAAAGGGACCCCGCACCTCCCCCCCAGAGGAACGAGCTCCCACCTAATAGGGGTGGCCTCCTGCCTGGCTCCCTTGGGTGGGCTGCCAGTCGTTCTCTGGGTGTCTGCAGTGCACTTGGAGTAAAGTGCACACCCTCACTCATGAGGGTGGGCCACGTCCAATCAGGTGAAGCAGCACCAACTCCCACACCACGCTGAGCTCCCAGAGCAGGTGGGAATGGCCCGCACACAGCCTGCAGATGTGGACGGCAGAGTGGGTGGCAGGGAGACCCCCACACATACACACTGCACCCCAAGGCCTGTGTTGTGCGGTAGCCTCCCTTGGTCCATAGTGAGCAGCTGGGAAGCTGTCCAGGTGGGGCTCTGGCCACAGAAAGACCCAAGAGGATGTGAGGAGGGACTGCCTGGTTGGGGAAGCCCACGTCCTCTGCCAGTCCTGGTGGTTGGAGGAACCGTGGCTCACGTTGGGAAGAAGCTGAGAAGAAAGTTTTGTCCTCCGTGTGCAGACACACAGCGATGGGGCGGGGCCAGGGCCTTGCTGCCTGGCGCTTACACGCTGAGGAGGTGCCGGAAATAACACGAGACAGCACATGCAAATGGGCGGCAGAGGCAGCCCCGCCCACCGTCCCGTTAGTGACCGGCGCCTGTGCCTGAGTCACAGTGTCAGATGTGAATTCACTACAGGAAGACACGCTGCCATTAATCGTCCTCAGAATCCTCCCTTGCTTCACACGCTCGTCCCACCGTCCGGGTCGCTCTCCGGAGCAGGTCTGGAGTCTGCTCTGCACTGTCTCTACAAGGCGTGACCAGAAATACAGAGCACGCCCACGCCAAGCGCCACCCTCCCGAAAAGTAGCTCAGAAAAACGGGACTCGGCGTCCTCACCCACCTTCTTCATCAACTCTGATACTGGGTGACTCCTGCCTCTCCCCCAAGTCAGAACGACCAGAAAGGGAACTGTCTGCACCAATTCGGGGCATCAAGCCAGGCAGCACAGCTGAGGGCCCTGTCCCCTCTGTCCCACCTGTCCCCACGGTCATCACCCGTCCCCCTCCGTCCCCTCTGTCCCCTCCGTCCCCTCCATCCCCGCCCATCCCCTCCGTCCCCTCCGTCCTCACCTGTCTCCTCTGTCCTCTGCGCTTCCCCTGGAGGAGCAGGAAGAAGCAGGCGGAACCTGAAAAACTGCCCCAAGCGCCGGCACTCTGCTCTGTGAGCTCTGCGGTCCGGCAGGGCCCTGGGACGCCGCTCCGTCTGCCCAGCCTCCTGGGAGCTGCGTGGTCACGTGGCTAGGTCCTGAGCACTGGGAGACAGACAGGGAGGGACCCACGGAGTGCCTGGGCCCTGCCCCAAAGGGAGGCTGCATGCCTGTCCCTCCCTGTCTCGCCCCATGGGGGATGGGAAGGCGGGCCGTGAGACTGGACGGAGGGACCAGGGTAGCACCAGGGCTGAGGCTGCAGATGGCACCTCGCACGCGCGCGGACACACACACACACCACCTGCCCAGGCTGCTTCGAAGAAAAGGAGACATTCATCCCAGCACCCTTGGCAGACGCGTCCCAGGAAGTCCCTAATCCTGGGAGGGCCCTGCGCCTGGACACGCCCCACCCTCCCATCCTGGAGGTGTGGCCGTAGAGGCAGGAGGAGACCACAGACTAGAAATCTTGTCACTGCATCCCGTGGCTTAGATACAGGGAATTACAGAGTCCACATCCCTCTCTTGCTGCTTTTTAGCTACCAGTAATTAAAAATCAGCTGGGCGTGGCGGCGCATGCCCACAGTCCCGCTCTGAGAGGCTGAGGCAGCAGGATCACAAGTTCAAGTCTAGCCTGAGCAACTTAGCAATTTAGTGGAACCCTGTCTCAAAAGAAAGCACCTTCAAAAGGAGGCAGGCTGAGCCTGTAGATCAGTGTGAAGGCTGTGGGTTCAATCCCAAGTACCGCAAAAAATCATCAAAGCACACACACAATACTAACTGCATTTACCTACTACTTCTTTTTAATAACAGCATCAACAATTTTAAGGACAGAAAATTCTACTCTGGATCTGGAAACCTCTGCAAAAGACATTTCCGAGCATCGCGGCTGTGGAAGCCATCAGAGAGTGACGGCTGAGGAGAGGGCCGCAGTTTTACCACCGCCCGCAGCTGCCGAAGCATCAGCCGCCCCGGGGGAGGAGAGGCAGGAGGAAAGGTCACCGTGCTTGGGGAAAGGCAAGGACCGCGGGCCTTGGAGCTCGGGCAGGTGGGGTGCAGCGAGTGTCGTGCCCCAACCTCCCCGGCCCTGTGTGGCTTCATCACTTCCTGTGCAGTCCGCTCGGAGCCTGTGTTTGCGGGGTCAGCGCTGCCGAAGCCCTTGCTGCTCCCGCATTCAGACTTGCTCAGCTTCCCCCTCCGGCCACTGCTTTCTCCGGGGGAAGCCACGGAGGGCAGCGGACTCGCAGTCAGAGCGTGTCCTTGACCTCCTCGCGCACTCTGTGACCTTGGACTGATCACTTACGTCTTTAGGCCTGAGTTTCCTATATTACTGTAAAATACACGTCAGGGCTGCAGACGGTGGGCACAAAACCGTACAGCGTCACCCGACACTGCGCCTCGATGGCAGCGCTGCCACCGCGCCACGTGTCACAGCGAAGCCAGCCTGCCGGGCTTGGGCCCGCCTTGTCACCCACCGTGTGACCCCAGTGTAGCTCAACCTCTGGTGCCTCCACTGCCCATCCGAAGCGACCAATGACAAAGCTGTCACAAGCCGGCTGCGATAATCGAGTGCACAGAAGACGCAGCGCACTCTCAGCGCCGCTCTGGGAACAGCAGGGGTAACACGGGCTTCCGTGGGGTAATAATTCAAACCCACGAGATGCCAGGTCCTGCCTCCCGGAAGTGCTCCTGCCCTGCCGTGTCCTCATCCAGCCGGACCTGATGCCCTGGAGGAAGAGCTCCCCGCTCGCTGCGGCTCACACTGCGGGAAGGCGGAGGACGGGGCGGGGCTTCGGCAGTCCATGCGGAGAGGAAGCCCTGGCCTCGCCACGCGGGGCAGATGCTGGACACCCGCGAGGTGCTCTGTGAGGGCAGAGGATGAGCCAGCCCATGTGAGGAGGGCTGGGGAAGCGTTCAAAGTTTAAGGTTTTCAGAAGTACTTAAATAAAATATAAAGTTTTAAGTAAGTTTAAAATATAAACTATTTATACTTTAAAGCACATATATATAAAGTGTATATAATTGTATAAATTAAATAAATTGAAATTATAAAGTATTAAAATAATAGTCAGATTTTATTCTCTTGTGATGCTAGCTGCGCTAAAGCCTCAGGAGAAGTGTGGTTGAGAATTCAGGACGGGATGGGGACCGCGTCACCCAGTCGTGGCCCTGAACTTCTGGCGCCCAGCCGGCCGACCTCAGGAGCGCCGCTTCACAACCTGAGCCTCGGTTTCCTCACCTGCTCCCCGGGGCACCTGCACAGCAGCGCTTAGGACCCCTGCAGCTTCTCACATCTCAGACCCTGTGTCTAACCTCTTGACCAAAGGTTAGCAGGTGAGCAGCACTGTCCAGTCCTCATCTTCATTTTACCAGGCAAACTCCAAACATTAATCTGAATATTTTGCAGCGGTCTACATGTGAAGGGGTACTGTATCAGTCAGCTATGCTACAGTGACAAACAGTCCCAAAGTGGCTGTCAACAGGCCCGTGTGAGCACTGCTGCTGTCCATCCCGGGTCAGCAGTGGCTCTGCTCCCTGTTCTCCCTGGCCAGGGCCCAGGAGGCACAGCTGTGGGAGGAAAGGAGACTTCTCAACCTCGAGCCAGCACTGCCGGCTCCCACATGGAAGGGCACAGCTGTTCCCACCTGTGTTTTGTTTATTTATAGGCCAAATCGAGTCATGCGCCTCTCTTGGCCTCAAGCAGGGGCTGGGTACTCAATCCTCCTACCAAGACCAGCATGATGGGAAACAGAGGACGTGGGGGCAGGAGTGCAGAGGGCCTGAGTGGAGCCCACTTGCCCCTGAGGAAGGGGGAAACCCTGGCTCGGGAGGGGAGAGGTCCACACAGGGTGTGCCGCGGGGTAGCACTGGCGGGAAAACTCTCAAGGAGGAAGAGGTCTCCCTCTGCCGCTTGGGAGAGGAAAATCCCCGGGAGGGGCGGCATGGAGGAGCGCACGGGGCAGCCGGGGAGCTCCCTGCAGCTCGGGGAGGCTGAGCTCCTGCCTGCTCGGAAGCAGGGTGTGGGTGCGGGGCCCCAGCGCAAGCAGAAGGCAGAAGATGAACCAACGTGTTCCTGTCATGTCCAGGAAAGGGCGGCGTCCCGCAGCCTCCCACGGTAGCTGACCGGAAGGAAGAGGCAAACACACAGCACAGCACTGCAAGCCGAACCCTGACCACCGGGCTCCAGAGCCCAGCCCGGCCACTCAGCGCAGCGCTGGCAGCTTGGGCCCCTTGGCACACGTGTGGCAGCTTTGGGCCCCTTGGCACACGTGTGGCAGCTGGATGGCGCGTGGCACTGCAGCTCTGCAGCTGGTGGCGGTAGCAACTGGCAGGAGCGAACTGTCCAGATGGGCACTAAATTCTCTTTAATGTCCCTAATATGTCAAAAGAGAGTAATCCTGTGTCAAAGCAGCTTAGGAGAACTTTTACTCAGGAGCATATAGAAATTCCTTATTGGTGAGAGAGCCGAGGCTTTATGCTAGCTTCGGTAGTGCGTCCTGGTCCCCAAGGTTGGCTTGGGGGGCTCCTCCACATGGGAATACCTTCTGGCTACAGGGACTTTGGGGCTCTCTCACTTATTTCCTTTCACAGGTTGGGGTTCTCCAGTCTGTTGATGGCTGGCCCAGGCCCGGCCCTGCAGGCGCAAAATTTGAATGGGGGGCCCAAGGGAAAACAGCCTTTTATTCTGCAATTCTATGACCCTCCCAGGGCCAGTGACACTCAGGTGGTAATTGTAAAATTTTAACATCAGGAGTAAAGTAGTAACTCTGTTGTGTAGGGGAACAGAACAGAGAAAAACATTTTCAGATACAGAACGGCCAAGACAACATCCAAAAGATGCATATTTAAAATTTGCTATAAATCCGTGAGAAAAGGAAACCAAAACCCACTTTAAAGCGCACTTAGGATGTGAGTTTGCAGTTTCTGGAGCGGGCTCAGATGAGCTGAGTAACTGGGAAATGATTGGCCTCATTAGCAACCAGGGAAGGCGGGAGATTGCCCCCCCCAAATGTTGGGGAAACACACCCCTACTTCACACACTGCTGTGAAGTGCAAAGCAGTTGAGCCCCTTTGGGGGACAATTTCTAAGGATCTGTAAATTAAAAACGCAGACGCTCTGTGACCCAGCCCCCACCCGCGGAGAAAATTCCCAAAGGTGCCGACATTCCGTGAGGCATGACTGCTCGAGGCAGGTGTCCGGTCTAGGAGATTAGCACCCCAGAAAGCTGTTAGGAGTGTGCAGGAGGGGGTGCATCCCAATCCAGAGCTGTGAGTCCAGTGGGGGCGGGGCCCCAGGGGCCCCAGGTAACCGGCCGCTCTGCTGACCCTGGTGCCCACTGAGCTGCACGGTGCTCTGCATCTGTCCTTACACCATAACAGGAGAAAAATGGGAAGCGCCTAAATGCTCACACGGCTGGTGCATATTTTACCAAATCAACCAGCAGTTTACAAGAGTGGGGTAGATGCGTGCTGATTCAAAATATATCCATGTAAATGTGCAGTATATATTTATGCTTTTGAAAAGGTATAGAAAATCCCATGTTTCCAAGCACACATATTTCTACATACATCTTTCTACATGTTAAGTATGTGCACGTGTGTGTGGCATTCAGCAAAGCATGCTGGGACATAGACAGCAGCTGGCAGTGGGAGATTCTGGGGTCGGGATGGTGGTCAGCCAAGACCAGCCTTTTCTTCATCATCTGATTTTTCTTGGACAGTAACTCACACAGGTACTATCGTGAGACCTTTCTCCTTTTAAATCGTAGAAAAGCACACCACTGGGGCAGAGGGGCCTGACTTCCAGAGCAACTGTGTCACCTGGCGTGAGTCCCAACCTCCTTGGCCAGCCCATTCCTAACCTACAGCAGGGCGGGGCTCCGTCCAGCCAACACAAAGCTCTGTCATTCTGCTCTACCATGCTGGGTTCTTGCCAGTCTTTGCAATATGAAAATCCAGTCGCTGAGTAAACCTGGGCAAAGAAATAAATGAAGCGTGTACAACTGTGTGCTTCAAGGAACTAGTTAATAACATCGCTTTGCCCGTGCAGGAACTAGCTAACAGCCAGCTCCTCGTGCTATCTTAGACAAAGGGCCTGAATGGGGGTCCCTGTCTTTAAATACCGCAGTGGCTGTGGCAATGAGAAGCTGTTTATTTTCAAAGAGCTCTAATTGAAGTCTATGTCCAGGCTGGTGGTTTTAGTAGCATGGTGAAGCCATTCTCTGCAGGTTGTACTGGTGACTAGACGGAGGGCTAGCCAGTGTCAGGTCACCGGGTGGCAGTGCCCGGCGCCCTGCGCTCCTCCTCTCACAGGAATCCCATCACTGTGTCTCTCCCCTGAAAAGCACCAAGAAAGGGAAGCAGCTTGCGTCAGCTGTGTATCTGGACTGCTTTTACAAAGAGACAAAGAAATTCGAATAAACCGTAATTCCTGAGGGGGTTGACATAAGAACCTTGATTAACAGAAATTTCTACTAAAAGGCAAAGCTAATTAAAAACTTCAGGCAACTTTTCCCCAGGAGAGAGAAGGTCCTCTCTCTTGAGCAAATGCAGTGTTCAGACACAGCAGAGAAGCAGGAGGAGCTGTGGAGACCGCCTCGGCCCTACCGTGCCGGAAGCTCTTCAGCGGGAGTGGGGCAGCGGAGGCCAGTTTCCCGTCCCGTGGTCAGGCTCCTTCCCGAGTGACCAGAGTGAGCATCGAAGCCTGCTGCGCCCGGTTTGCTAGGAAATTGTTTTTGAAAACCAAAGCTAAATACTTTCCATTGTATGCCTTTTTTTTTTTTTTTTTTTTTTTTTGGTTTTTCTCCGGTACCGGGAACCGAACTCACGACCTTGCGCTTGCCAGGCAGGCGCTTTGCCACTGAGCTAAATCCCCAGCCCCCTCCATTGTATGCCTTTAATGACATTTTAAAGACAATTCATAGGGAGACATTTTTATAAATATTAATATTATAAATATTAATACATCTACATTGTATTAAAATTTAATAATTCTGCATATGGAGTAGTTGTCTATTAATCATTAAGAAGGAGGGCTGGAGATATAGCTCAGTGGTAAGTACTTACCAAGCATGCAGGAAGCCAGGGGCTCAGTACCTCACACTGTAAAAAATAATAAATAAACAGGTAAGTAAATGATAAAAATAGCTAGACGATAGACTAAACAGGCAAGTAGATAATAATGATGACAAAGATAGGTAGACAGACAAAATAGATAACTAGATGATAAACAGGTAGGTAGAGAGATTGATGATACACGATAGCAGATCCATGCGTTTGATGCATGAGGAGTGTGAAAGCCGTAGGCATGAGAGGCCATCCCGCCTCAGCCAGACCACAGAGCGGACGCCATCTCCTGAGGACAAGCCTGGCGAAGGCCGTGGTGACATCGTGCAGGACCCAGAGGCCCTGTTCCCTGTCACCTGCAAGGCACATGGGAGAACCAAGCTCAGGCAAGGGTGTCCGTGCCTCTCCCACAGGCCGCTCAGCAGGGAGTGGGCAGGGCTGCTCTGGTGGGACAGCCGGACTCCTCCATGCCCTCCAGCTGCCCTCCTGCCCTCGCCCGGCTGCCGTGGAAGCCCTGTGAGGAGCGGGACTCGGAGTCCTGTGGGGCAGAGCCACCCCGGTGCTGACAGGAAACGCCCGCCGTTTCTGAAGCCGGGGACTTGTCTTCCTGGGCTGTGGGCCGGACAGCAGCACCCTGTGGCAACAGGAACTCATTCTGAGACACGTTCTCCTCTGAGAAAGGACTGGGCTGGGTATTTATTTAGCAAATGCTGCCTCACACACGGGACACTGGGACAGTAGACGGGTCACAGGACCCTTGGCAAACTCTGTAACGCAGAGTCGCCCACACCAGGAGCCACGGACCTCAGGGGTTGAGAGGTGGCGGGCTGGGACCTGCTCGTGCAGCGGTGAGAGGGCTGGGCAGGGAGGAGACCGTCCATACTCTCTGCTTGGTTCTGCTGTAAACCTCAAAGTGCGCTCCGAAATAAAGCCTAAGCTGGGCGTGGAGGTGCACGCCTGTCATGTCAGCACTCGGGAGGCTGAGGAAGGAGGATCACAAATTTGAGGCCAGCCTGGGCTACATCGCAAGACCTATCTCAAAAAAAAAAAAAAATTAAATAATAAAATCCACTTGAAAATAATACTAAAATGGTTTTTATTTCAGACACTGTATCTGAAGCCACAGCCCCGTGACACTTGTCCCTTGTCCTCACCTTCTCTTACCTTGGGGCACATGGCCTCCCGCTCTCTCTGGGCATCTCTGTCCTCTCTCTGCAGAGCACAGGCCTCACCCCACCGCAGTACAGACCTCTCCTCTTGTTGGCCAGTTTAGCATTGCTGTCTTGCCACCCCCCCGCCCGCAAAGGAAGACAGACCACCCAGGAGGGCTCCATGGAGTCCACCTTAAATGCCGCATGGCCAGTGTGCTGGGAGTGTGACAGAGTGGCGTAACGTGTGCAAACTTGAATTTTAAACTGAAGTCCCTGCAACACTGAGGGGCATTAGGACAGGGCACTGCGACAATACTGACAGAGTTTCCCGGTATAGAGCATTTTGAAATAACACGTGTCCACCACAAGCCAACATTTGTAAAGACACCGAACCTACAGGGGCAAGGGAAACCACACGCGGAATTTAGCCATCACCTGGCCTCACCACGGGAGTCTCTGAGCACAAATGCTGCTGCCCTCCCTTGACCGCCCAAGAGGGACAAATCTGAACTGGTCAGGCTCACATCTCTCCACCAAAGGAAGAGGACTGTTGTTAGACTTTCATAATTTTGCTTCTGCAATATAATTCATGTATCAGGAATATCCAGATAATCACACCCTACTATGGTAATTGTAGCTTCTATATGGAGTTCAATATTTCCTTTTCTACTTAAAATGTGAAGTATTTTGCAAAAACAGATAATGTACAATGCAGCGCTTTTCAACACGCGTGGCCCTGAACTTAAACATCAGCCTGATGGTTAATGATGCGTCTGCTAAGTGTGCAGATTGTAAAGCAAGTGCTTTCTATTGTTCAATAATACATCCTATTTAATTGCTCTATTATTGAATAAAAATCCCTAAAGAATTTTCACTTCCAGCAATGTATCCTGACCTCCCTTTGGTGTCTAGACAATAATGATTTACTGAAATATGTGGGGAGTAACATAAGAAGAAACCTTAAAACATATATGATATCTGAGGTTACTGGGGTGGGGAGAGGAGAGAAAACAAAGTATTGTTGTGCATGGTACAAGTCTCCAGATAAAATCATTTCAATAGACGTGGGACGTAATGATCAGAAATCCAGACGTGAAAGAGTTACAGTTGGTCAAGATGCAATGCTTGTATAAAATCAAAATAGTTTTCTATAAATTTTCAAGGTAAAGTGACAATCTTTTAGGAAACAAAAAGATCCTTGGGGGATCAGAGTCTTCCAACAGGTCACCATGGTTTCCAATAGTATTCATCAATAAGCTGACAGGGTTTGTTCTTCAGGTTGGCTGGGAGGCCGGGCCCGGAAGCCCTCGGAGATGCGTCCGCACGAGCCCCTCAGGGTGTAACTGCCCTGAGTCAGCGGCCTCTGCTTGAAGCCCTCTGCTCACCACCCTTCTCCGTTCACACAGCAGGCCCTGGTGAACGCTTACCCACCAGTATTAACAAATGGGTGCACTGAAAAGTCATATTCTTTCCCACACCAGCAGGAAGGTTGGAGAATGGCATTCATCTTGCTAGGGTATGGATGGATGTGCCCCTCCAAGTTCCTGTGTTGGAATTCAAGTCCCATGGCGATGGCGTTGGGGTGGGGGTGCTGGGAGGTGCTTATCATGAAGGCTCTGCCCTCAGGGACAGGATCCATGCCCACATAAAGAGGGTTCAGAGCACTGCCTAGTCCTTCCCACCTTTGGGCGCCATCTTGGACCCGCCACCACAGTGGCCTTGGTTGTGTCAGACTCTGGCGGCTTAAACTCTGTTAGGTATAAATTGCCCCGGCTAAGGTATTATGTTCCAGCACCGAGAGTGAACAAGGACAATTAATTTAGGCATGGCCTCACTTTTAAATCTTTAGATAAGGAAGGCGAGGACAGCAGGTAGGAAGTGTGCCAGGGACCTGGTATGTGGGGCAATCCTGGAAGACAGTGCTCGAGGTGTGGGCGCGGTGGCAGTCCCAGCTGTGTCCTCACAGTCCAGGCTGCACTAGCCTCTGCTTGGCGCACAGCGGCTGTGAGACTGGCACGAGAACAGAGGAGTAGGTCTGTGCTCCCGACGGGAAGGTCTGAAGGGCTTGCTCAGCAAGCTCTTTCACGGTGGCCCTGAAGTCAGGGCTGTTTTCCAGGCTCTGTACAAACCCGAAATGCTGCAGTCAGCTGTGGTCCTGCTGTCCAGGGACACCCGTCCGTGGTGGATGTGTGCGATTCCCTGTCGGCTGGGGCTCCGCCCTGTGCCAGTCTCTTTCGAGTCTCAGCATCGCAGCTGGACTGTTGACAGCTCGCTCACATCCACTGTGCAAAACGGGCCAGTGCAGCTCGGCGTCAGGTGCTCACTCATCTCCCTCGAAGGAGGAGCAGGTGAGTGTTCACCCGAGTCCTTAAAAGCGTGAAGCACGATCTCAAATACCCAGAGTGGGAGGGAGCTGGGGAGCCTGCTTGGCCCCGTCTCCCCAAGGGGAAAATGAGGCTTGCAAAGCCGACTTCAGAGTCCAACAGCACAGCCAGGGCTGGAAACCCAGGCCCACCACTGGATCTGCGCGGTAGCATTCCTTGTTGCTTCTAATACTGGTTTTCAACATTCAGCATCTTATTATTTAGCAATTCAGCTCATAAATTCACCTGGATCCTTGGTACCCTCTTCCCTTCAAACACAGCACACCTTTGTTCCTCCTGGTGAATATGATCGTCGGCCCCAACACTGCTAGGTATTCCTGCACCAGCCCTGCACACTGAAGGTTAATGACCCAAGGTCGAGATTCTGTTCTTCCTTTTGCATCTTGGGAGGGGAGAACAGAGCCTTTTGGCTCTTTAGGCTTCTCAGGCAAATTCAGGCTCACACGACGAGCAATCTGGCCACCTGACTCACCGCTGCGTGCTAACTAGAGGAGGGATCCAATACACCCACCTCCCACCAGCAGCACCTGGCTCCTGCCTGCGACACGGGAGAAACGCACAGAACCACAGCTCCCACCACCCTCAGTCCAGCCCGTGCAGCCTGAGCCCAGGCCCTCAGAGTGGGGACCAAGCGCGAGGTCACGGTGCGAGCGGATGGAGAGCCACGTCCTCTGCATCCTTCTGCGACGTGTCGGAGACTCTGGACAAGCAGTGGCCAGTTTGTCTCTGGCTGCGATGGTGACGTGGGCATGGGCAAGGTGGGTGAGGCTTCGCATTCTACCAGTACGGACGGAGGCAACACCAAGGTGTGGAGCACCTCTCACTTCAGTCACGGCGGTCAACTGCAGGAGAATGGGACCAGGACCAGGACACGACCTGCATAGGGCCGCGCACAGCACACCCCTTCCTTCACGAGGCTCATTACTGAGGGCAGCACTGTTACTACCTTCAAGGAGGCTCCACATAAAACTGTCAGCAGCATCCAGTGACTCGGAATAGGGGCCGGTGCATTAGCTGCCAATTTAAATTAATTTTGCTTCTTGAACCATGAAAAATAGTTCTTTGAACAAGAATTCATGATAAATACACATGTGTAAAAGGCCTTTAATCATAATTATTTTAAATGCATAAAACACAGTTTAAGACTCTCAGCCTCATTAATTTCTTATGGCATCAAAGAATAAAAACGAACAGTAAATGAGAAAAGTATAAGTCATAATTTAAATGTTATGCATGGTCATTTAGCTCATTAAGTGAGAGTATTCTTGGTAAACTCTGGGCAGAAGAGCATTTCTGACCGCCCAATCACAGTCAGCAATGCTGCAGTTTTCTTGGCACGAATCAGTGTTTTGCATCACTTAAATTTTAAAAGAATACTACGTAGAGTTAAAACCACAGACCTGGAACTTCGGGAAGCATCGTAGCACCTTAGGCTTCCTCTCCCAGTGCACTTGATTCTCTGTTGTCTGTCAGGTTCCCACAGAGCAGGGACACGGCCTGCGGGGCACACAGAGGATGGAGTACACCGAGTGCACACAGCCAGACCCAGGGGCCCAATCCTCCCGCACCCCGTGCTCTGAGCCACTGCAGGTGTCCCTCAGCACGCCCACCCCTCTGCTCTCTGAGTACCAGGTTGTCCTCAGCGAGGTGGGTCAAGGTGACAACGCTCAGGCACTCAGACAGTTCGCGTCCCTGGGGCCCGCAACAGTAGGGTTAGCGGAGCTGCCAGGCTGCAGCCCCGATGCGCATCAATCTCTGCTTCGTGTGCATGTGGTCCACTTCCACTCCGGCTCCCTGGTTCAGACCGGGAAGCACACAGCTGCCAGACCTGTGGCCGCACACACTGTCCGAACACTCAGCCGTGTCCCCAGTGGGCAGGGCTGCCCTGGCTCTGCTCTGTGACAGCAGCTGCAGCCCACCTGAGACTGCCAACGTGCCCCATCCTCTACAGTCCGTTTTTGAAGGAGCCAGAAGCTGACGAGTTCAGTGTTGGGGGTCGTTATGCCTGAAGGCTTAGGTCTGAAGACTGGCACCCACTGTCCCTGTCTCCCCAGACACAAAGTGCTTTTGATGCCTAACCTCAGTTGTGACAGGGGTTGGTACCAAGCTTTCACTCGGCCCCCCCTCTGAGAGCACTCACCCCTCAAGCCAGGGAATCAGCAGGCGCATCTCACTAACCACCAAGCACGGACGCTCCCACTACAACTTGGGAACTGGACGATGACCACGAGGTGGTGGGTCCTGGACCAGGGCTCCACTTAGTGCAGCCCCCACAGGAGCCCCACCCAACAGGATGGCCCTGGCAGCCCCGCAGCTCCCAGGTGTGGATCCGGCCTTGGACCCCGCACCCAGATCTGACTCGTGCCCAGAGCACCGTTACCTGGGTGCCTGGCCATGGGGCCCCCTTGGGGAAAACACAGGTGGCTGAGTCACTGCCACATTCACTCGCCACGGTGCCTGGCAGGCCCTGCTCGTAGAGACCCAGCCTGTCCTTTGGCCGTGGCCTCCAGCACACACCCAGACACCAGCAAGGGTGTCTGGGTTGGGGCTCAATGCTTGCCCTTAGCCGGCTTGATTTCTTTCAGCTCTATGGACTATGAAACTCCCTGTTGATGGTCCCTCTGTCTCACACACCCCATCCACCATGTCCACAGCTCTGGGGCCACATCCCCTGACAGAGATCATGGCCTCTGCACCACACCTCTTTTCTGATACGTAAACCCCCACCTGGCCAGTGCCCTGGGGATCCCCTCCACTTACCGCAGCAGGGAGTGCAGCCACCCAGTCCCACGTCCCGAGACACAGCCTCTCCACGACGCTGGCCCCCTCCACGCCTCTGCGCTCTCTGGTCAGCTGAGAGTCCTGGAGGATTAGTAAACCAGGACTCTGTAGCCTCAGGGGGTCTGTACGTGCTCGCTCTATCGAACTCTGTCAGGGTGGGGCAGTTCTGAAGGAGGTGACCCTTGAGCAGACAATGAACTGCTGTGGACTCACCAAAGAAAGACACTGAAAGGCTTAGATTAGTCACCATTTTGAGAGATATCGCAATGTCAGAAGAGTGCTTCAGGGGCATACGAAGAGGCTCCCAACTCCCACCTCCTCCAAGTGAGACAGAAAAACCTGAAAGACCATTCTTGGCCACAGTTCCAAGGAAAGCAGAGCTCGGGAAAAGACTGCGTCCTCAGCTCTGGGAAGTCTGTGATGCTCAGGTCAGGCCCTGGCTGGACACTGTGTCCACTGCCACTTGTTCTAGGCTGGCCCTGCCCCTCCCCCCCGGGGGACACAGTGTAGAGGCCTGGACTTTGCATTTCCCCACCACCTCCTCCCGGCAGCGCCACCCCGGGTGAGGCTGGCCCTACTAAGTAAGGGAGGAAAGTGACCTAGCACAGGAGCACCCCATGCGAGAGCACAAAGGCAGTGGCCAGCGCCCGGCATGGGGAGTTGGAGACCACGCGGGGGTCCTGCCCACGAACCTCCAGTCTAACTCTATGGAGCGCCTTTTAGGAATTACGCATAACTCCGAGTAAAATTCAATATCAAAACTCAGTGTCTGTCATTCAGTGCCCCTGGCCTTAGAGGCACCCGAGAGAGGAAAAGAGGCCCTGTAAGCTGCGAGGAGACCTCATTCCCCTCCAGTGAGCCTGGGGCAGGGGAGGCCTCAGCGAGCCTATAAACTGAGTCACAAGTCCTGCTTTCCCAGCAGAGCGAGCTTGGAATGCGCCCTGTGACTCTCCAGGCTTGACCCACTTCCATTAAAGAGGATGCCCAGTGAGTGTGGGGTTACACAAAGAAGTTACAGAGTTTCTAATAAATGCCTCAAACTGCCCAGAAAATCTAGTTCTCAGGATATTTTTTTCCTTGCGGCTGAAAATAAACATGTCCATTGCTTTATAGTTTCCTGAAATGATGACATTCTGGTATAACTGCAAATTCTTGCGACAGGCAGATGATTCTCCCCAAGTATGGGGCACTGTGAAGGCCTGAGGAATGGCTCGGAGGCCTCTAGCAGTGGACACGGGTCCTACATAGATCATCGCAGGGACCTCTTCGCTCAGGAGCAGGATTTGGGTCCAAGTTTTGCCATCAGATTATGACTGAGACATCTCCTCGGTCTAAAAGGTGCCCTCCACATTCTTGAGTGGAAAGACTGGCGGTAAAACCTTCACCCAGCCCTGCTGTCCTTACTGTTCAAGTAAACAGAAAACTGACTGAAATATTCTCCACTATCTCCCTGTCAGTTATTCAGAGAATGAATATTTATTTCTTAAATACAAATTGCCAAGCCCAGCTTGATAAAAGACTGTTAATATCTGGTCAAGTAAGGACTTAAGACTAGAACTACAGAGTTATAGAAGAGTTATTTAGTAGGCAGAGGACTCTGAGGTTCCCCAGTTTACTGGGCAATTACACAGTGTGGTTATTCTTCCCAGTTACAAGGCAGGCCTGATATGCCTCCCAGGAAGACGGCCTGACGTGTTCGCTTTCCTCATCCGGGAGACCCAACACCTGACACCCACCTCTTAAAGAGGAGAGGGTCACTTTGGTTCACAGCTGTAGAGGTTCCAGTCCATGGTCAGCTGCTCCAAGGCAGGGTGGCGGGGTGGTAGGGCAGCAGGGCGGCAGGGCGGCAGGGCAGCAGGGCGGCAGGGCGGAGGGGCCTGGAGGAGGAGATCTGCTCAGGGCATGGGGGACAGGAAGCAGAGAGAGAAGGGAGGAGCTGGGATGGGAGACACCGCCCCCAGGCCACACCCCCAGTGATCACCTCTTCCCACCAGGCCCCACCCCCTGCAGCAAGTCAGCTCTGTGCCCCGATAATCCAGTCCCCTTCCCACACCCTCCCTGTGAGCACGTGAGGCTTTGGGGGCACCTAGACATAGACCCTAACAAGCACAAACAAAGCAGTAAACAAGCCATCTCCAGAAGTGCAAAGGGGGAAACAGGAAGCAAGGTGGGGTTAACAAAGGCGCTCTGGAGAGGATTCTGGGAGTGCAGTTTCCCCTGCTCCACGTGCGCATCCATGATCCACTCTGTCCCTACCTCTTGAGTCAAACGTTGCTGGGCCTGGATCTGCTGCACCTTAGAGAACAAAACCGGACCTTGAAGAGGAAGGTCGGGGACACACAGGCAGGCACCCTGGGAAGCCCCTGGCCCAAGGCGACGGGCACACAGGGAAGAAGGTGGGCACTGGGCTCAGGGAATGCACTGCCTCCAGGACGCTAGGGCTGGGACTGCCTGCCACGCTCAGTGTGGGGTGGTCTCAGTCCCCAGCAAGCCCAGCAGCACTCTGCATGCCCCCAACCCTGGGAGAGCAGAGGCTCCTCGCTCCCCCACCTGCAGGGCAGCCGCCACCTTAGTGTGCAGTCACCCAGGTGCAAGCGCTGCGCAAAGCAAGGGAAGTCCCACCCGTGAGGCTCCCTGGGGTGTGGACTCCACGGCTGAGCAGGGTGTGAGGGGAGCTCTAGGAGCACACGGGGCAAGGAAAGCCCGATTGGACAGAGACTGATCTATAGAGCTGATGCTGGGCGGACCTCATCCGGTCCTCCAGGGAGCGCGGGTGCTGGAGGGGCCACCCTAGGAGGGATGAGGGATTCAGTCCTCGGGGCACTGGCGTGGCCACCCTAGGAGGGATGAGGCAGGGTGGCTGCACCTCCACACGCCTGCCTGCTCCCTTGGGAACCACCTGGCTTCAGGAGGACATTAGTAAAGAACTCTGTTAGCCTCCCCGCTGCCCGGGGGATGTGCATCTCCTTCCCGAAGGAGCCACGGGCAGCAACCTCTCCGCAGCCCGCCCAGTGCCCCTCACACTGTGTGCGTCGTGTAACGTGCTCTGGGAGATGTTGCGCTAGGAGTCTGGGGGTCTGTTCTCTGCCAAAAGTTGAAAGGTGGAAATAGAAGGGTGAGTCGCAGTCTCCCTCCCTCCTGGACCAGCCCATCTCCTTCCTCTCAACTCCTCAGCCCCACGGCACTTCTGCTGACCCTGACGGCTCCCTACGGTGACCCGGACCCTACGCGTTTGAAACCCGGCTCTGGGCACGGCTGCTGCACTTGTCTATTTGGACTCACAGCTGGTCAGGGTAATGCTGAGGGCACCAAACTGTCTGGTGCCAAGCGTTCTCTGCTGCCAGCCAAAGTAGCAGCAGCTTGGCCGTCCCTGGTCACTAAGACGCATGGTCCTGTCATGGGGGTGGCTGCCTCCTGCCCCACTGGCCCCTGGTGTGAGAGTCAGGAGACTCTGCATCTCTCCTGGAGCTGCTCTTCCTCTTGGGAACGAGAGCCATGTCCCACAGAGCCTGGAATCAGAGGGACCGAGCAGATTTCCCCAGGCATCCCTTGGCACCCCTGCGTTGCCAACCTTTGACTTCTGGGCCTGTGGCCGCTCTTCTCGACGGTGGGTCCTTGGTGAGGGCTCAGCGCTGGTCTCTGCCCACGGCAGGCTGGGGGTTCTGCACCGCCAGCAGCTCACCAGCCTTGGTAGTGATGGGCATTCTGAGCCCGTGCATAGCACCCATCTCTGCCACGAGGGGTTCTCCATTCACAGGCGTGGTGGTCCCAGGGCCGATGGCGGCTGGTGGGCCTTCCTCTCCACTTGGTTGCTTTTCGTGCAGATGCTCACGTGCACCTCCAGGGTGTCTTCACACTCACACCCACGGGTCCTCCCTGAGTCTCTTGCCGTCAACAACCCAGGGTTTCTCCTTCCGAACGTCAGGCCAACCAGCCAGACCTCGGCCGTTGCCTATGCTACGTGCTTGTTCAGAGCTTCACACTACACCCACATATACACGAAGCTTCACGCTTCGCACGTACACACAGCTTCACCCTCCACACCAGGCGCGAGCAGGCTCCCTTTTTACTGGTGGGAGGACGCGTGGTGATGACGTCTCCTTTGCACTGGGGGACATCGCCCAGACCGCCGAGGCCCTACAACCTCTCCCAACCCGGGGGCCCCTGCACTGTCTCGAGGCATTGCTTCCACCCCTGGAGCCTTCTACTTACTGGGCACGTCTGTCTGCCCCAATCCAATCCACACGAATCACCGTATACTGAAACAACGAACCAACATGACCTGGAGGGTCCAGGTGGTGCACATCTCTTCAGATCTGCATGGCTGACAGTGGAGAGATAACCGTAACCAGAGGCAGAGCTTTACCACCTTTGGTCCCCAGCTGTGAAGTGCTCCTGGCTGCCTCTCCCTGGAAGGAGACAGAACTGAGGGCTTGTGGCGCAGTGGACCTGAGCCGGGGCTCCTTTCTCCTCTGGTGCCCACTCTGGGAGGGGCCAGGCCTCTACCTCCACGTGCAGCCCGTAGCCTGTGCCCAGCAGCCCTCAGAACATCTGGCTCTGCTTCCCCTCACTGGGCCATTCATTACCGTGTAGAACAGCGTCCATGGTCCTCCGGGTTCCTTCCTCCAGCAGGTCTGGCCTCTCTCGGTTGACAGCAGCCATGTCTGAAACCTGTCCCAGCTCTCTGAGCCTGACAAGCCTGAGCAGTCCCTGCTGGGCTGTCCTCTGGACCCTCAGCTGTCATCGTGGTTTCTCTGGACGGCGTGGAGTAAGCAAGGTCCCTGCTGACTGCTCACTGCACCCAGAGGTCCACAGGCTTCTCACTCCCCATGTCACTTTGACGTGTTCCTCACTGTAATTGTGCACTTTGTGTCCTATCAGCAGTGCCACCTCAGGGCCCTCCTGGAGCAGTGCCACCCACGCCAGTCCTGGACCAGAGCAGATAGCACCACCCAGCCCAGCAGCCTCCACCAGCACTTCTCTGACCACGTGAGAAGCAAGCGTCGCCAAGCCCTTATCCCCCATGCAGCTGGCTGGCAGCGTCTCCAGCCTCGGGAGAATGCCCACTCCAGCCTGCCCACGGTGCCGCGTCTTTTCATCCACCTCCAGCTCTCTGCCATCACAAGTCTCGTATTTCATTTCACATTGCCTGGGCCGCCGTCATGTTCCTAGAGTAAACTCAGCCCTGTGTTACCGCCATTTCCCGGGGCCTGCCACGGTACAAATCCAAAGTACCAGGAAAGTGTCCAAAGCCATAAATCCTCCCCGCTCAGCATGCAGCACACACAGGCACCCGTCCCACTTGGACGCTCTGACTCCTGCCCACCCTGCCAGCTGCTCGTGAAGCTGTCGCAGGACAGTTTCCCTCCCTCTGCCTGCCCAGCCCTGCTCCACTGCACACTGCACCCAAGGAGCTCGGGCATGTGGCAGGCGGTGCGTCTCCACAGGGGTGTAGTGTGTCATGTCCTGTCGTGTCGGGGAGAGTCTCTGTGCGCATCATAGTCAAGTGGGGGACACTAGCCTCTGACGGCCCAGGGAGTGCAGACAAATCCGGACAGTCACGACATCTGAGTGCGTCACTGCACATGTCCCAGTTCCAAGCCTGAGGGTCCCACTCCTGCCTAATCAGGGCCCTAACCTCACGTAGACAACTCCTCAGGGCTGAAGATCTAACTTCTTGGTGTTCTAATGCCTTTGTATTAAGTCTGAGGTCCAGTCCTTGGCTTTCGCTGCTCTCTGTTTTCAGAAGAGAGCTCTGGCGTGTTGTCAAGGAGCTCTGCCTGGCTGTCACCACCTCTAACGTGTCTTGCTCCGCTGTGTTAATGGCCCCAGCAACAGCAACCTGGCTCCCGAGTCCCCGAGCACACAACTCTCGAATACCCGGGGTCGTCCTTCTCAGTCTTCGCTGGCCCACATACACCATGCCTCTTCGCCACTGGGGAAAGATGAGAACTGGACCAACCCTGCATGCCAGGGCTGTCCGTGCTCCACCTGCCGCCACACTGGAGTCCTCGCTGCCGGTCAGCAGCACAGCTCAGCTCTGAACTCCTCGCTGTGTTTCTTGGGAAACAAACTCAGTGTCCACTGCAGGCTCAGGAACGGTAGGGGCAAGGAAGCAACAGCGGACAGAGGGAGACTGGCGCTGCATGACACCCTCAGACTCACCCCGTGAGCAAGGGCTTCATCAGGCAGTCCTTGGACTGGGGATCTCCGAGGGGTGTGCCTCCTGAAAGGCAGCTTGCTGGCCAGGGGAGGGTCCTGGGGAGAAAGCTGTGGTTGCCAGCATCTGACTCTGCCCAGAACGGAGGAAGCAAGGGGCTCTGGGATGAGAGCACTTTACGTGCGCCGCAGCATCCATTATGGCAGCAGAGGGATTTGTAGGCAGAGAAGAGTTAAAACTCACAGCCCAGGTAACTAGGCACGCTGGGGACGCGTGGTATTTATTTAAGCAAAATCCTGAGAGTGTTTAATGGCACTCACCTGAATCCAAGCCTCAGGATTTCCCACCTATCTAATAAAGGGCCGGTTCATGGCCCGCTGAGGCTCACGCTCGCCCTTTCCTGACTTCCCTGTTCCGCTCCGTTTGCTTTTCCCTTCAGCGTGTTCCTGAGTATTTCTACAGACCTGGTCTTCGGGGCACAACTGAAATATCAGATGTCATCACATGCTTTTCTTTCTTTCAGGGTCTCTGAACTCAGAGCTTGAGCTGTAGTGGTTTTTTCACCTGAAATCTATAGATATTATTTCAGATTTCATTTGTAAGAAACCTTATTGGCAGCAATTCACCTGATTGATTTTAGAGCTGCGGAGTCACCCACAGGACATTGGTTTGGCCCTAAACTTTGTCTCACCCCTTGCCTGTGAGGCCGTACTGGGCAGGAACTTTGTCTCAAGTCTTGTCTGAAACAATAGGCTGCCTCAGCCCTGTTTATCAATTATTATTTACAGTAGGGACCCAGAACCTTAAAAGAGGTGTCACTGAGCCCAGGTTCCAATGGCTACGGCATTTGGTTGAGATTTGCGTTTCTTTGGTTTTTAAAACATTTGCACATATGTCTGCTCTGCGCTGAGAACACTTGAACTTGGTGGAGCCCTTTCATATTTTCCTTATGTGGTAGCAACCTGGTTATCTCGGATATTAACATGAGGTCTAACTGGATTTTGAGATCACAGGACCGAGCCCATCACTGCGTTTCTGAGACAGTGCTTCCTATGACACCAGCTTAAAAACACCTGCTCTTTCACCAAACTGATGGCACACTTTTAATCATGTTTACTGTCCTGAAGTCAGTGTGTCTTCACGCTGCTGTCTCCCGGGTGAACTTTCTGGGACGGTCCCAGCCGCCGACCCAAAGTCAGGGCCTTAAAACAAGACAAGTTTATGCATGACCCAGCTCAGATATTCAGGTCTCAGAACCCCGACATGGGTCTCACTGGACTAATGCCAGCGGTTGGTGGGGCTGTGGTCCTTGGTGGCAGAATCTGTTTCCGGTCTCTCCCAGGCTCCAGAGCTGCCCTGGGCCTTCCTCTTCCTTCTCCAGAGCTGGGAACCGCAGGCTGAGCTCTCCACCCCCCAACCTCTCTAGCCGCAGGCTGTCTCCCTGGTCTGCAGCACAAAACCTCTGTGCTGATGGTGGCCCAACGGACCAGCAAGGACGACCTTGATATTTTAAGGTCAGCCGACCGGCAACCTTAACCACGTAGCAGTTTACCCCCAGCGTCACTTGGGCAGCTTGTTTGTTTACATACTGACTGTCCCCAGCATCGGTCCGGCAGGTGTCATTTGTGAAAAAATGGTCACTTTTATATTGCTCGTTATCTTATAAAAATTAACCAAAAAATACAATTAACCCGCTCATCGTTTCCAGGGATTAGGACAAAGACACGTTCGGGAGGGAGCATTCACCTGCTTCAGACACACAAGATGACATGATTTGCAATCCTTGGCTCTAACCCTAGAGTTAATGGCATCTTACATTAAATAAACAAAACAGTGTGTGCATAATCAATTTTAATGTTTGTATTTTTAAGTATATAAAATATACAAGTATATTCATTTTTCCGAGGACATAATTTTGCCCTGTAACCCTGAGTGACAGTGCCACCACTACTAAATGCAACATTGGAATTCTAAGCATTGTGTGTTGGATTCCCTGGAGAAGCTGCATCTCTGCATTGAGGAATAACAGCCAAACACGAAGAGCAACTCGAACTCAAGCTGGTGGGCAGGGCTCATTTGAGCAATGAGACGGGGAGAGCAAGCTCACAACAAGAAGCCAGCAGCTTATCACCCCTTCGTGTGCTAGGGCTAGGCTGAGTGGGGCCGGCAGGGTAAGCTTTGCCTGCTGGTCCACAGGGAACATCTCCCACCCTGCTGCTCCCCTACCCTGCCGGGCGCTGTGCAGTCCCAGCTGAGCTGCTGACCCGTGTGCCCGCCAAAGGGACCCAAAAGGACAAGAAAGACAAAATCTGGGGAAAGGAAAGTTTGACTTCGAGATGGTAGCAGGGCGTATTCTATGACTGCATGGAGTAGAATTCTAAGTCGATACTAAAAGAGCGACCAAAATCATCTTAGCAATTCGGAAACTTAAAGGCACTCTTAAATAAACATTAAATAAATCCTAAAGATGAAATAAAAAGAGAAATTAGGAACTGTTTAGGTAATGAAACCTATGAGGTACAGCAAGTTCTTTACAAAATTAAGTTTATGAACTTAAATTATTTGCCTTTACAGGAAAAAAAGCTAAAAATTAAAGAATAAATCCTCCTGAAAATTAGAAAAATGAATACTCAGTAGCCCAAAGAAGCTAGGAAGCAAGCATTAATAATAACAGATGAAATTAAAAAATAAAACACCATAAAATGCGAAGAATAAGTGTACCATAAATAGCTCACTCTCTAAAAAGACAGGATTTAAAAATAAAAGATTCAAAAGCCTGATTAAAGGTAAAGGAGAGAGTGTGCATGATAACCACAGATGTAAGGAAGCTGAAAAATCATGAGAGTTCCATGCGCAAATTCATGGAAAACAACTTTGAAAATCCAGAGGAAATGGATGACTTCCTCAATGAATATAAATCACCAAGATTGATCTAAAGAAGTGGACGCTTCCATTGCCGCAGGGGAGGCCAGCATTGGTCAAAAGTCAACCTGGTGGTGGGGCTTAATACAATCTTTCAACAGTTACAGTTGCAAAATTGTTTAAAAAAATGTTGGACTATAGAAAAAGATGGAAAACTCTTGAAGTTATTTCATATAGCAAAAATCATACCAAGATGTATGAAAAACATCAGTACACCAAAAAAGAAAAAAACTCTAGATAAATCTCACTATGAACATAGACATAATACTAAACCAAACATCTGCAAAAATGCAATCAAAATGCCAAAGGAGTGGCGTTGTATGACCAAGGAGGGCTTGTGGAAGGTAGCTTAATAATAAGAAATTTATCAACATAATTCTTTATGTAAACACATTAGGTGAGAACAAGTCACTGAAGATATTCATAATACCAAAATTTAATATCTCTGTAAACCTCTAAGAATAATAGCAATACAAGAAAACAACTGACAACACCAACTGCATGCAAAAAATCCTATTTTTCCGAAGTAGCAAAATGCTGCAATCATCTTGAAGTTAGAAATTTAGCGAATATTCCTAGTTTCTTCATTATTTGTTTCCAATTTTGGGAAAGAATAAAATTGGCAGTACTTACACTGGAAAAGAAGATACATAACTATGTCTTTTCTATTGGTAATAGAAATGCACTCCCAGGAAACACATAAAAATTTCAAGTTAAAAACAAACAAACAAAAACTTTTGATGTTAACAAAATCGGCAAGGTAGCTGGACGTAAAATAACTATCTAAATGTCAATATATTTGTTCCACTTAGGTTCCTAAAAATGCCAAATGAGAAGATATTGTGTTTATAGTAGCAAAAGCAGGAAAGTACCTGGAATGAATGTTTCCGGGAAAGATGGAGAGGATCATACCACTATCAAAGACAAAAAAGGAGATCAAGCAAGTGGAAAGACATCCGACTTATGGGTGAGAATTCTTAATTTCATACAAGCATCAATTATATAAATGTAATGTCTTTCTCATTAGAATTTCAAGAAGATAATGTTTTAAAGGGATGGGAGGAAGGTTAGATATTTTTATAGTAAAATATATTTGAAGGACTGTGTGAAAAGGATAGAAGTGCAAGACATCTAAGAGACAGTAGAGAATCAATGGATATAGAAAAATAACTGCATGAGAGACGGTATTCACAGGGGTGTATGTGTAATATACAAAGGTTTACAATTTGATTTTAAAAGATAAAAATCTAATAAATAAACATGAATATGAATAGGTATTTTTAAGTAAATGCAATTATTGAACAAATATATTGTTTAAACACATCCAAACTGCCAACCAGCAATTGTACTTACAGTTGGGAAAATTAAAGTAACAATGAAATTTTTCTTTCTATGAGTGGCAAAAATTAAAGAGAATCTATACAATTCTATTTGCTCAGAAACACCAGAAAGAGGCCCTCACACATACTGTTAAATATAAATGTGATGTGTTGTAGTCCTTTTGGAAAGTAATACAGCAACTCCTGCACAAATCTAAAGCACATAGAATAGTCTCTGATCCTGTAATCTCAACTTCTTGGAATCTATCCTAGAGATATAAAAGCACCACCAGTAAGCGAAGACATCTGTATAATAATGTTTATTCAAGAATTTTACATAGTAAAAAAAGATGGAGACAAAATGGTTAAATTATGGCCAGATTCACAAGATGGAATATTAAGTAGCCATTAAAAGGGGTAAACAGGAAGTGCTCCTGTGTATCAGTTAGTGTGTGGAGAGGTCCATGAAAGTCTGCTTGTAAAAATCCTGCTTTATTTTTGTGTATTCATGTATACGTCTGTATATAATTGTATGAAAACAGGGGACATTATAAAATACATAGTAGCATAGGTCAGTAGGACAGGGGAAAAAGGACAAAAAGGAATGCAGAACTCAGCAAAAAGAGAAAAAAAAGTTAGACTTGACTTTAAGAATGAAACATGATCAAATTCTACAGTATGTAGGTTAAAAAGCTGTGGATGCATACACAAAATTTTTAAAATGGGCAAATGGAAACACCAGCTCTTGGACTGTGATTGAAAAACCATGCGACTGAATTAAGACCCGGGGGAACAATAGCGTCATAAAGCTACAATCCTGTCTCTATGGCAACTCACAAAGTATCTTCGCAGAGCTGTTCTCACAGCTCCCACACGTACAATCAAAACAAATATGCCAAACACTAAAATTTAAAGAGAATTGGTCATTTTATGTGTTGTATTAACACGTTTAATAGTGTCATTGTACATAATGTGAAATTTATGTTAAATCCATATAATATTATGCAGTCAAGGCCATCTATTTTTGTTTACTTTGATGACTGTGGTTTCTAAAGGCCTAATGGTTAAAGAAAAATTTTTGATGCAATAGTACAAAGTGATGATAGTACAAATAAATATTCCTCATTCAAATGCATGCATGCATATATGTGTGTACACTTGTGTATGTGTACATATTTGCACACACTATATACTATTGTGTATACTACATTTGTATACACTATCACCTTTTAAAAGTCACAATACTTATATAAATTAATTTCTATAATGGTACTAAAAGAATTAGCTATGCTGCCCCCTGTGAAAATAATAATATATAGGTAAATAATGTAGCTTCCATTATGGCTTTTGTCATTGTCCTCCATGCAATTTTATCTGTTAAAAGAAAATCCACCTGGAATTTTGTTGAAAAGAAACAACCTAAAAGTTGTGGAAGATGGAATTTTGGAAAAAGTATAATTGTTGGTGTATTCCATGAGTCAAATTTCACAAATACTGGAAATTGAAGTTGCAAAGCAATTACACAACAAAGTCTCACAAAGTAGTAGGTCTTCTGGTGCATTTAGAAATAACTGATTAGACTTTGGAGTCTATTGAAGATTCTCCCTCACCAAGGATCTCCCTCCTATCCAGCTGGATCCAGCACTCCCTCTAATGCAATATAACAACCATTGGTGTATTCCTACCATCTTGTTTAGTGAAGCTCTGTATCATTTCTAAGTTTTTTTTTATATTTTTTCTCTCTTTAATGGTTTGATCAATCTTGCATTTTTACATCTGGTAATCTGAGCAACCTCATTGAAGATAACAATATATAACACAACAACCACTATTAATTCCTATCATTTTGTTCTGAAACCCTGCATCACTTTTTATTGTTTTAGTGTCATTTTATCTTTGTCTATGTTGTTATTTTGATATTATTTTTAAAATTCTCTTTAAAATAAAATAAATAATTTTTTTAAAAAAATGCATCTTCTTTCTCCAAGCTGCTATCCCACTCCCTGGACAGGGCCCTTGGCCCTCCCCTCAGCGCCTGCACTGCAGGCCCCCACTCCAGTGGTGTCAGCTGTGTTCGTCCCACTCGCCCCCTGTGAGCTCCTGGAGGGCTCCGGCAGCCCCATCGAGTCTGCACGTACCTGGTCTCCTCTGCCCACCGCTGTACCCTCTCCCTCGTCCCGCTGTGCTCGAGCCTGCTTTAACCTGCCACCTTCTCACTTCCGGTGTTTCCGCAGAACTGACCGCCTTCCCCTCTGGTGAATTCTCATGTGCAGAGTGCCTCTGCCCAACTTGGAGCTGTGCCTCTTCCTTTGCAAACGCACTGCTGCCAACTGCTCTCAGTGCACCTCATGCACACACTTCGCGCCCAAAGCAAGACCCACACGCAAACCACCGGGACAATTCTTCCCTCGTTTTAGTGTCAAGCATAAGTAGTTTAACTAGCCATGCTCGATAATTAAAAGGCATTTTTTCCTTCTAAACTCTCACTGTACTATCAACCATGTTATGAAATTTATAATTTCTTATTTGTACAAACGGATGGCTCGGGGGGCACATGCTCAAACAATGACGTCAAATGCTCCTGAAACTCCTCAGTGGTCGGCGGACCGGGATGCGCTGCCGAGCGCCCCGCGCTTCTCCCAGACCCAGCTCCCATCTCAGCTGCCACCCTCACCGGCACGGCTCCCTGCTCGTGTCTCTGTAGCCAAAGCTCCCTTACAAACGTAGCGAGCTGTTGGGGATGAAAATAATGCATGAGACCAAGAAGTCACAAAGTAGGTGAGATGCAAGTAAAGGATAAATAATCCCAAATGCAATTCTTCTTTGTCCTCAACAGAAATCCTGGAGAGTTAGTTTCACATTGCCTGACTGGAGAGCCTATAAAAAGAAAACCTAAGATATATGCGACTATTATCATGAGTAAAAGATCATAATAAAGTTACCAAAAACAAACTGAGAACCATGTGGAGAGCAGCGCGTTTGAAGTTCGGTGCGTGCGCTCACGCAGACACTTGGCTCTGTGACTCTGCCACAAATCTTACTCCTTCTCTAAACAGACAATTAAAACGCCAAAGCAAGTTTTGATATAAACATTTTCACTTTAAAAAAATAGCAGAGTCCAGGACTGGGGTCAGTGCGCAGCACACGTGAGGGAGAGCCAGGTCCAGGCGGTCTGGGAATCCCTCCCCAACACATGGCCTCCACCTCAAGCCAAGCCCCGGAGCAGTGCCCCGCGGATCTGCTGTAGGCTGACAGAAAACTCCTGTGCTGCATTACACTTTAGCTTCTTTCCACTGCTATTATTTTAACAGATACTCGTTATAGGCATGCTTTGCTCTGTTATTATTTTTTTCCCCCCGCACAGGTTAGTTCAAAGTGTAGAGCCAAAGCTTTACAGAAAGCACTGATATAACAAGGGAGACCTGGGTCTCTAATTATCCCAGTGGACAACCACTTTTCCGTACAGCGACGTCCAAATGAGCCAGCACCCAGCGAACTCTGACTTGCCTTAGGTGGATAGAAACAGGCCAAGTTTCATCATTGAAAATACAGATGTCCTGAGAAACTGCGGAGATCTGGAAGGCCAGCAGTGGGTGTTACGCTTATCAGCACTATCTGTTGGAGAACAGATGCTGAAAAATTGAATGCTGGCACATTTTTAATAAATTTCTAGTGCTCTTAGGGGAAGTGGGTGAGTTTTATTCATAATAGCGGGCTGCGTATTTGTAGGATAGGAGAATTAGCATTCCTAACAAACTACAAAAAGTTTAAAAATAAGCAATCATTGTGGCCAAAGCAAGTATTCCTCACGAGAGGGGAGAAAGGAGGATGGGGGTGGCACCCAGGGACCAAAGACTCCAAACTGACCAGTAGCAGCGCGTTCCCTCTTCTCTGTGGCAGAAACCGTAGCCTTCAGTGACTGCCCAGGGCCAGGCCTTTGCTCCTGGGCTCTTCCTAGCAGACAGCTCCACCTTTCTCAGTCAGCTGAGCACAACCACGGGGCCGCTGTTGGAGCCCATCTACGATCAGCCACCTGGCTGTCCCCCAGATGCTGTGCTCTTGGGGGGCCGTGATACACAGGCACTCTGGAGTCAGCCAGCGAGGTCCCACCCTGGCTCCAACAAGCAAAGCCCCAAGGTCGTCACTTAGTGTCCGTGGAGCGTGGATGTTTGCAGAGAAAAGAGAGCAATAATTTTCACCTGACGACTGCGCAATGCCCCGCCCAGAGCCTGGCACACAGGCGCTCAGAGTTGGTAGTTGCTGGAGTTGTTTCCAGCCTGGCACCGGATGGAGAAGGGGTCCTGCGACCAGTAATGATGTCCATCGTCTCCAACCCAATGAGGCCAGATTGAGTCAACAGCGGAACACAAGCACCAAGAGAAGAGTTGTGCGTGGTTTACCTCAGCCACCCAGCTGGCTTCCTTCTCCCAGCACAGCACTCTCTGTCTGTCCACCCTGTCTCGCTCAGCGGCATCTCACCAGCACAGGCCTTCTGAGCAGCTTACAGCGACGTCCTGCGGGTCCTCCTTCACATCCTACATGGCACTAACGTCACCCAAGCACATTTCCACTGACTTGTTTATCAACAGCATTCTCATCTGGAAAGCAAGCTGCCTGGCACACGGTGGGTTCTCAATAAATATGTACTGAGTGGGTAACTTTCTCAAGAGTACGCTGCCGCCCACCAGGGAGTGGCCAGAGACACGAGAAGGCTGGCACGTCTTGCACGTGCCCTGCTGGGTCTCCTTCAGGAGGAGGGATGTCCGGGGCTGGCCTGCAGCTGAAAGTGACAAAGCAGAGTCTGAGGAATGTTGTTCCGCTGGGCGTATTCTCTACATCACACTGTCGTTCGTATCTTTAGGTTACTGTCGTCTCTTCTGATTTCAAGTTCCTAGGAAAAAGCAACCATATCTATAGAATTTCCCCTCACCACTCCCTTTAGTCGGTGTTGAGGGCTGGTAGTTTTTGCTACGTGGAAACAGTGTCTCCTAGAAGTGGTGCACGGTGCCTTGGAAAATACCATCTGTCTCCCAGGGACTCAGGATGTTAGCAGATCCCACAGAGCAGGGAGGAGGCGAACTTAGAGCTTCCAGTGATACAAACGGCCACAGCACTCGCACCACCAGGTTTGCCACGCCGCAGCAGAGCATGAGAATATTACTGTGACTTTAGATTTTAAACAGGATTAGAAGTAATATTTTACTTTTCTATGACTTACTTAAAAATCTTGTATAAGTTTGTCATGGAGACAATATTAATGAATAATACCAGGATAATTCAAGAGAAAGCGGGATTTTAGCTCTATTTAGAGTAGTTGCTCCAAATTACTATTTTCCCATGTATCATTAAATAGTGAACTCAATAATACTGATAGCCATCCAAATATACACACTGGGTGGACTTATCTCCAACTGAAGCATATTTCCCAGCAAGCAGAACGGTAGTTGCAGTTAAAATGTGTGAACTGCGTTTACAACGTGCATCTTACACCCTGAAGTTGGCTTTATTGGATTACAGTTAAGAGACAATTGACCCGGATGATGAATGCACAGGGTTTTAACTTCAAGCAATCAACTCGAGGTCACTTCTCAAAGTTGATGCCCAGATTTTAATGGATAATTGAAGATTACAAACCACACGCATAAGCTGATTAATTGTGATTGACACAGCTCCTGCTGCTAAAATTGGGATCGATGGCAAAGTACTTGTGTCACGGAGCTCATTCAGGCAGTGGTTTCCTTTTGTTAAGCACTATCTTCTTCCAAAGTGAGGAATCTCGATCAGCCCACAGCAAAACGTCCACACTGGCTCAGAAAACAGCCCCTTAGCACCAGCTGTTTTCAAAGGAAGCTGCGTAACACTCCGGGAGCCGATGCCTCTGCCCGCCTCGGCCAACTCTGAACTGTGAGAGCTAAATGCTACAACACTCTCTCGCCTGCGCTCCTTGGCAAGCAGTCACCAAGAAGGAGAGCAGAAAGAAGGCTAACAAAGCAAAAAGGAATCCTACCATTTATATCATTAAACCACAAACCCCGGCCTCAGCTACAGCACGTCATTGACATGTAATACATATGCTCACAGCTATGCAATCATTTCTAATGAGAAATAACTGAATAGTTACAAGATATACTTTCAATTTCATTTTCAACCTATGCTCATTAGCAGTAGTGGAGGCTAAATCTTACTTAAGTAGAAATGAATTTCAGTGTGCAAGATGAATGGATCAATTTATACAGAGGGTGAGATTCCCTGAGATAAACATATACTTATCCTAAGCAAGTAAAAGCTACATATCACCCTGTCTGTGGAGGAATACCTGAAATTTCATGCTTTTGAGAGCCTTAATTCTTTTTTTATGTACAAAAAAAGTCACACACTCAAAATGCTATTTTAAAATCAAAGAAATCTGCTCTGAATCTCATTTTACTATTTAATAGAGCAGCTGAAAAATGACTTAAAGATGTGGCCATATGGTGCGAAAATCCAGAATCCAGGAAAGAATGAGATACTGTAAACACGTAAGAAGCAATAACAGGAGTCGAGTCAGAGCGCGTTAATGAGAAGCCGGTGATGGTGCCGGTCTTTTATTGATTACATTTGAGGACACTGACTCACTAGTGTTTTCCAAAACACGAATTCTGCATCTCGAGTGTTGGAGGAATGCGGCAAAGTCACTTCCTCAGCCTGGAATGGTTTGCACAGAAAGATGCCGCGGAATAAATTACCACGGCTTCAGCGCAGCTCAATTAACTGAATGGAGCAGAGAAGTTCCAATCTGGTAGCCACGGAACCTGGCAGCATTTTTGCCTAAAGCATGCACGAGCGGATCGTGGAGCGTTTCAGCAGCCCGATGCTCAGAGGCCGGCCACAGGAGGGCCAGGAGGAGCGCCAAGAAACTTGCGTCCCCCCAGTGTCCCACAGGAAGCTGGCGTCACTTCCTGTCTGTCTTCTGAGGAATTCTGGTGTCCCTGTCCTCACTGAAGATCAGTTGATCCTTCTGTTCCCCGCAAGTCCCCTTCTGGTCCCCTTTTTTAACTGGACCTGCTGTCATGTACCCAAACCTCAAATCGGCTGATAAATGATCAAATTACCCACCCCTGGAAGAGAGCTGTCTGATTCCAACCCTACCCCACGGCTTGGAGTCAGCTATTTGTACGTTAATTCATTCAACAAAGATTTCCTGAGCATTGGAATTACAAAGGAGCATTGGAATTACAAAGGAGCATAGAACGGTCTCTGTTCTCGAAGAGCTCGTCGTCTAGTGCAAAACACCGTTGTGGACAGAATTTATAATGAAGGAGGTCAACACTTCGACCGAGGTGTGGAAATTGTCCAGGGAGGGCCTGGCTGGGGTGGCAGGGGACCCACACCTGTGTCCTTGGGGCGATTTTTCAGTCGAACTGGGCAGCAGAAACGTGGGTGTGTAAAGGCCCTGGGGACCTTTCCCTCACTGCCTTCCAAGGGTGTGGCGACTCCACACCCTCCTTCCACCCGGGTCCAGCATAGATGACAGAGACCAGGGAGGACTTCTTTGGGGCAGCTTCCCCAGGTCCCTGCAGCGTCTGGGGACAAGGCGCTGGTACAGGATGGAGGTGCTACCACCTCCGGCTCTGCCTTCGCACTCACTCTGCCCGCTGCCCCAGCCCACGGTCCCTGTGGCTGGGGACCTGGGAATCACAGCCTCGATACCGAAAGCCCCGCAGGCCCCAGCAACACAGCGAGTGCTGAGAGCACACGGGTGTGGACTCCACAGGAGAGAGGGCCAACAGCCTGGGACCCTGGTCCCCAGGCCGGCACGTCCTGCGTTCCCCTGCGGGCGCCTGGCCTCGGCCCAGCACTGCACCCTCCTGCACAACACTAAGATGAAAACAAAGGGCGCATTCATCACATTTTTTCAACAACTGGTTTCTTTCCTAAGTTTGAAAGAAAAACTTGGCAATCATCAAGCTGAGTTTTTATTTTTATATATTTTCTTCTTAGTGTCAAAATAAACTGGAAAAGGAAAAAAAAAAATAGCCCAGTGGTAAGAAAAAGAAAATACACAAAGCCCTTCAGAGCTCAGTGGGCCACACACTGCCACTGAGCCGGTGCTGCGCCAGGCATCACGTCCGGCTCTCAAGGCCCCCGCCCGGAGCAGCGCGTCCTCTCTGTAGGATGCGGCGACTTAGGGAAACCCCGACAGGCTCCCCGTGCTCACCCAGCTGAACATTTACTTTAATCACAGTGACATTTCCCAGGCGGTGTCATCCAGAAAACCTCATCTGAAAGAGGCGTATGAAAGAATTCGGTTGTGCATTCCAGGGAAATTGAACACAGGTGTCCCCACTCCAAGATGCTTTGGTTTATGAAAATGCAGCACTCCGCAGCCTGAGCACCTCCCCGGGGAGCTGATACCCAGAAAGTGCCCTGGGCGACTGCACTACCCACCGCACCACCCTTGCATTCTTGGGGTCAATTCCAGATGCTCCGCCACTTCCCAGACTCTTCCTCTCTCATCAGGGAAGGTGAGAGACTTTGAAGCAAGGAGCTTTCTGCAAGGCCTCTGACCTCCACTGCCCACAGGACTTGGCACCCAGTCTGTACTGAAAAGCCTACCCAGGACCACACCTCAGAAGCTGGGTAGCAGTGACGTGAGCGCAGAGGGAGGTTGGTGTGGCGGAGCTCGGCTATGGCCCCAGAGGACTCCTCAGAGGATACCGCAACACTGCCACTCAGGAGCTGGAGAGCGCGGCAGATGTGGGAGCAGGGGCAGATTCGAGGGACACGAAACACCCAGGACGCGTGCTCGCCTGGGTACCACGTGCTCAAGAAAGTGTACCCCACTGTGTCCTTACAACCATGTCACCCACATTTGCTGTGCGCCGACCCCGTGCCCGCCCCAGAAACGAAGGCTAAGCCCCTGACACCCAGCCCACACCGATGCACACCACAATTTGCCCCTGTGAGTGTGGGCGCATCTCACGCTCACGGCACCCCAAGTGAGATGCCACCGCCCTGCAGCACCTCGCCCCTGCTCTTCCCCTGCGTTTGCCACACTTCAAATGAGCTTCCAGTTCCCACCATCCCAGGCTTGACACCCCCACTTCTCACTAAGAGCCCTGCTTCTCCATTCGTCACCAGAGGCAGGCAAGGACCCGAACAGAGGCAGAGGGTCATTCTGGGGGAGCTCTAGCCCCCGCCTCAGAGACCTGCATTGGACACAACAAGGGGAGAGGTCCAGACAGGACGTGGTCCTGCAGCCACAGATGTCCGACCCCAGGAAGGAAGCTTCCCTGAGCTCGGCTCCTGCCCCACCCTGGGGGAGCAGGGCCGGCCCCAGAGCGAGGTCACCAGGGCTGGGACAGGTGACGCGGGCTTGACCACTTGGCATTCAGGGACCAAGCAGGTTTGCTAAAGCTGCAACATGTACGGTTACAAGCACCACCTTTAAGAAACGTGATCACCTACTCAGATAACAACGGTTTGCGATTTATCATTTTAAAGAAAATGTAAAGCAAATTTATCTTTCTAGAATGGTTGGTAGCTCCTGGTTAGTAATTTAACGTTTGAGGTGCAGCTTCCCACTCAGATATACTTGTGCTTTGTCTTTTTACCAGATTTATTTTTAAGACAAGACTTCTGGTCAGCTCCATTTCATATGACCGTGGTGAAGAAAGAGATAATTCAGCATATTTATAATTGCATGATGACTCAGTTCACAGGGACGGAGCTCCCTGCAGCACAGAGGCTCTTGTGGATGGGGAATACTACGAATTAAATGGAGAAAGAGACCTGGGAATATAGCTCAGTGACACTGCGCCTGCCTGGCAAGCACAAGGCTGTGAGTTCAATTCCTGGTAAAAAAAAAAACAAAAACAAAAACAAACAAACAAACAAAAAGAATTATAAATGCAAGATCTCACACTGGCTGGGTCCTGGTGCATATTTTGCAACCTCCTTCTCCTCCACTCCCTGGGCACCCTCAGCTCTGCTCACCTCACCCCTGCTGAGTGTCCACAGGTGATAGGAGGGTTCCTGGAAGCAGCTGCTGCCACATGGGAGCTGGAAGAATTGAGCGACACGCAGAAGAGACTGCAAACCACACAAATACCCTATGAAATCCCATTACCCTCAGGCAACTTCCCCTTTATCTGGTCCAAAAATGTGCACAGCCACTCCCAGAACCAGCCACGTCTCTCGGGGGGCCCAGGCAAAGGGGAAGCATCAGTCTCATCTTGAAACGTGTTCAGAACTTCGCAGCTGCGGTGTCATGGCCCCGGCCAGACCTGCTTCCACTGCTCCAGCTGCTGCTCGCCAGTGAGGAAGGGGGACAAGCAGAGGCGGGAGGTGCAGTCCATTCCACAAAATGTGCCTAGAATGCCGCCCTTCGCAAGCCTCACCAGCATCTTTCTGGGGGCTCTGAACACATCATTTGGGACTTGGAAAGTCTTTGACGAGAGTGAAGATGCTGCAAGCCTAAGGACCATTAGGGGGATGGTCAGTTGAAAGGTAAGAGGTACTGGACAATCTGACGGTCTCTCCAGGATGAAGTTTTATCCTCAGGGACTCTACAGTCCAGTTAGCAACCAAATAAGAGAAACTGGCACAGCCCTGCCATTACTCACATGCAGAGGCGGACAGTCTAATTGCATAAAACGTGAGACTGGGAACTCAAAAAAGAAACAACCAGCGAGTCCACATGGTAGGCTGGCTGGGTGCTCTGGGGTGCCGGTGCACACTCCAGCGCCACGCCTGCCAGTCAGGGCAGCTCTCCTCCTGGACTGCAACCCGCAGGGCCAGTCTGGGCCCTGCAGCCCGCTCGGCTCGGGCTGGAGGGGCGCACGATTCCAGCAACCTCCCCAGGAATGCGCACAAACGTGTGGCTCCACCCAGGGCACCCCGCTGGGAGGAGCCAGTGTGGGCTCTGCCGTCACCCTGACCCCCAGGCCAGGCAAGCAGGGCAGAACCCACAGGGAGGAGAGGCCAGTGGGTCTCCAGCTGCAGCCAGAGCCACAGGCAGCAGCTCAGCCTGGGGTGACTGCAAAACACAGAGCAGGGGGACACCGAAGAGGGGCGAGGAGGGCAGGGCCAGGGAGGGGCCGGGGCTGGACAGAGGGGCCAGGCCCCGAGCAGCCACAGGACTGCATAGGGCCCAGGCTGGCCAGAGCTCCAGAGCCGCCGGCCCGGGGAGGGGCGCTGTTCAGGGTTGGAGCGGGAGGGAGGGAGGGAGGGGCGCCTGGGGGACCCACGGGGGAGAGGGGTCCTGCTTTCCAGTCACGCTCCAGAGGCTGCCAAATGCGTGTCTGACGGTGCTTGACCCCAAGGCCGTGCCAGTGAGATGAACATGGCGGAGCCGAAGTTCACTCAGGCTTTCTCGCTTGGACCGTACTGATTATCTTCCTTCTGTTCTAAAACACAGGAGTGAGGCTGGGCGTGGTAGCACATGCCTGTCATCCCAGCACTCCGGCACTCAGGAGGCTGAGGCAGGAGATGGCTGTGAGTTTGAGGCCAGGCTCGACATAGTGAGACCTGCTCCTGGTGCAGGCAGGGTTTCCTCAGTGAGGCAAATGGGCTAGGGGGAGGTGCAGAAGGTGGGGGTGGGCACCCCTGCCGGTCCCAGGGTCAGAGAGCAGAGGAGGGAGGGTACATGCAGCTGAGAGACCAAAGGCTGGTGTCACACAGCATGAAAAATGTAGAAGAAGCCAGGTGCAGTGGCACACACCTGTAACCTCAGTTCCTTGGGAGGCTGAGGCAGGAGGATCACAAGTTTGAGGCCAGCGTGGGCAACTTAGAGAAACTGGTCCCCCAAAGGGGAAAGAAACTCACCCATTTAGTTCTGTTTTTCACATTTTAGCTCATCTCACTTCATCTGCGACTAGGGACAAAAGAGCCTAGCAGAGCTGTCCAACGCCGCGCTTTCCAAGGGGTCTCCTCCTGCCTTTCTGTGGGAGAGCGCGGTCCTCTTACCCGTGACCCTCGGGCCGGGAGCCGCACACACGCTCACCTGGCGCCATGGCTCTCCGGCCTGAGCACAGTCCCAGCTGGGCCGTGCAAACAGCCGAGTCCAGGAGCCTCTCAGAGTGGCCGCGGGCACCCTGTCCTGGGACCCGCAGGCTCCCGGTGCAGACAGAGCCCAAGAGCGCTGACAGGGAACCACACTGCGTGTCCAGCCCACAGACGACAGGGCCCCCGGGGGCCTCCCCTGGAGCGGTCCTTGCCGGCCACAGAGCTGCTTCCCAGACAACACAGACCCTGCCGCTGGCGCACCCACCCTCCGGCAAAACCACAGCCCTTGCAGCCGGCTGAACTTCCTAAGGCACCGAGCATGGCCCACGGGAGGCGGGCAGCAGGATCGCGGAGAAGGGAGGGGAGCTGGAGGCGTGGTGAGAGGTGTGTGCTGACAGCAGTCACCCGTGCTCTGAAGTGGAAAGCTGGACCAAAGGCCAAACGCGATCGACCGTTTTAAGCTGCTAACTAAGCTTCACCTGCACACAGCACCAGAGTCCATTGTAGCAGATTTCAAAAGGAAACACAAGTGCTCGCATGCTGTGTGCATTCGTGGCTATTAGAAATCCACCAGCATTGATTTAGAGACTATGAATGGAGTGAACGTCTTATTCAGACGTTTGAGTTTTGCTTTTTCCTGACTTTTGGGAACAAATACATTTTGTTGTTTTTTAACTGTGGTAAAATATACATAGTGTGAAATTTATCCTTTTGCAGACTTTTACCTGTGCAACTCGGTTTCATCAGGTACGTTCATATTGCGGCCCAACCTGCTCATCCTTCTCCAGAGCTTTTTCATCCTCAAACAGTCAAATAAGCCCCATGCACTGGCTCATATCTATAATCCCAGCCACTTAGAGGCTGAGGCAGGAGGATTGAAAGTTATGGCCATCCTCGGCAGCTTAGTGAGACCCTATCTCAAATTTTTCAAGAGGAGCCGGAGGGGTAGCTGGGTAGAGGGCGTACCTCATAGGCACGAGGCCTGGATTCAACCCTGAGTACTGCAAAATAAACCAACAAACAAACACGGAAATGGTGCGTCTCTCCAGTAGCTGTCTGGTTCCGAATGAGCTGAGCCCGAAGCCCACACTGATGGGAACCTGAGAAGTAACAGGTTACTGGCAAAGGAATCAGCCCTCCTACAGCCCGGACTCGACCCTCAGTGTCACGGGCTTTACCCGCTCATCTGTCGATTCCCAACACCGAAGCAAAGTTCTGGAATCGGCCTGGACTCGGGCTGCTAAGGGTGTGGTTCATCCTTACACTGCAGCACACGAACACACACTCACTTTCACACTACCGTGCATAGACATCCACTGCCGAGGCTGTGTCCAGCTGCCCCCCCCGGGGGTCATGGGGTCACAGGTGGGCTTTTCAGAGGTGGGGTGTGGGATGCTGGGATCAAGAGTGTGTGAGGCCTAATTAAGCCCACTGATTGGTTTGGCAGAGTTCTGGGTGTGGGTAATGGGAAAGCCTAGCTGGTGTGAGTGCTACCAGCCCGAAGGGCCTGTAACCTGGATAGAATAAAAGGGACAGAAAGAGGGCTGCTAGCATCGCTCGCTGCTGCTGCTTCTTTGCTACTTTATGACTTTGCTGCTCTGCTGCTTCTGCCCACCATGGTCTGTTTCTCCTCTGCCATCCCACCCCACCTTGGAGCCAGCTGACTATGAAGGCAAACCTCTGCAGACTGTGAGCTGAATAAACCTGTCCTCCTTTTACTGTGGTTTTGGGTATTTTGTCTCAGCAGCGACAGAAGTAACTAAGACAGCTTCTCATCTTCACACCACAGCTCACAAACATCCCCAAACACCCCAGGCACACAGGCATCGTTTCCCCACTTTGTGCGTACAGGACTGAGGACCTGGGATGGGTCTGTGCCTGCCAGCCTGGAGCACGGCTCTCTCTGCCGGCCTCAGCTCTGCACAGCAGACCCTGGCTCCCGGGGACTGAGACGCTGGCCTGGCGTCTCCACGCAGCACACGCCTAGCCATGGTCTCCCATCATCCGTGTCTTCTATGGGCCGGGAGGAGGAGGCTCCCACACATCGCCTGCATGGAGCAGAGTAAATGCACTGAGGCTGGACGGACCAAGATAAGTTAAAAATATCAGGCTAGGTCATTGGTCCTACAGAAAGGTAGAGCTCAACCTCTTATCTGTTTATTTTTAATTTCTTGAGATGAACTTACATGTACTCTTTTTATAGAAGCTTATAATCTTTCTATCTAAAGAAAATTAGTAGAAAATACATTTCTCTGTTTTTGTGGATAGAAAGTACTAAAGCAACATAAATGCTAAACATTCACATAAAATTGTCAGAATCAACAGATAGCTTCTTTTGTTTCATAAAAAGGATGCATGTATGAATTTATTTCAAATGCAGTGGTGCCTCAGTCCACGCACTTAATTCTTTTTCACAGTTCTGGTTACAAACCAGGAAACTTGATTCAGTTCTCGTTCAGTTCAATTTCCAGCCAGAATCATGGGAAGAATTAAGTGCGTGAAGCGAGGCGCTGCCATGCTGATTCTTCCACCAATATCTTTCTCTTGCTAAATAGCAGATCCAACTTGCCGCTTAAATTCCAAGAAGGACCAGCACTCCCTTGATCCGCCCCCAACACCCGAGGCCATCTCCCTGGGCAAATGTTGAGGATGTTTCCGAGTGTTTTCTGGGACTAGGAGCAGGTCACCCTAAAAGCAGCAATCCTTGACACCTTTTATTTGCTTGATGTTAGTACTTAATTTTTGAAGTACATGTTTTAAAAGAATAGTTACT